GTGTATGTGATGAGAAGTAGAGAGAATGATAGAGTTAGAAGAGGGGGAAAAAAGACAGATATACAAAGAGATAAATAAGTGAGTTAACTCTGGAAAAACAGAGATTAGGAATGTAGAAAGCAGGATGTCGCAACCTCTCCTGTGTGTGTGTGTGTGTGTGTGTGTGTGTGTGTGTGTGTGTGTGTGTGTGTGTGTGTGTGTGTGTTGTGAAGTGTATCCTCCCTCAGTGTTGTGTCACCCGTGGTTGAGGCAGCAGTCTCCCAAAGCTCCACCTAAACCTGAGTTGCTGAAACATGTTTTTGGCACAGCTGGTCTGCTGACAGTGGAGCAGAGCTGCACATTCACCATATGATGTATTACACACACACACACACACACGAACACACACGAACACACACGAACACACACGAACACACACGAACACACACGAACACACACGAACACACACACACACACACACACACACACACACACACACACACACACACACACACACACACACACAGTGTTGAAAGTCAGCTTGTTGTTGAATAATAATAATAACAACATATTTGGTTTGAAGGCTGTAGGGGGGTGTGCTGCTATAACTTTAATGAAACTGATCCTGTTTTTTTGCAGCATTTTGTAATAGAGGAGCCACAGCTTGCCTGATATAAAGAGAACCTCTACTAATATGAGGTCATTAACTAAAATAGTAACAGGATTGATAATGCAATGTATCCTTCTTTCCAACAAGTTCCATGAAAACCAGACCTGTACTTATCCAGAAATCCTGCACAGAAAGAGCACAAGCCTAAACCTTCCCCTACTTGGCAGACATCAAAATAAGATCTGCATCTGATTTAGGACAACATATACAAGGACAACATAGTTACTTTAATCCATTAATGCGTGTAAAAATCTTCTTCATTTTTATACTGCTCGTCCCTCTTATATTTTGCACATTTCTGTAAAATGCCTCCTCTTTTAAAATCTGCGCAGCTCTCCATTTTAAACTTTAATATACTGTGTTTTTTGCCTTGGTTTTTTGTATATTTCCATTCCGTGTCAATTTTTTCTTTATTTTTATGTTTCTTATCATACTGTACACAAATCTCAGATTTACCCTGATGTCCTTGACATATTTCACCCCGCCCTACCAACTTTGAAACTATATAGAGCAAGGAAGCAGACAATTATAAATGAGTTTCCCTTTAATGAATACATTGTTATTATAGGAAAGAGGAATGCAGACGGAGATTAAAAATGACTGGAATGTTTTGTGTTTTTCACTCTGAACTCAGTGTGCTGCAACCAAAGATTAGCAAATAAGTGTGTGTGTGTGTGGTACCAGCTGGTACAGTGAGGTCTGATTAATGAGTAACGTTACCCTGCTGCACTCTGTTCTGCTCTGCAAAAAAAAAGGGTAAAACCTGAATATTGACAGTTAACTGGGAACAGGTTGTTATCTCCATCTGGGCTCAGTGTGGCACCATTTTCATCCCCATCTGAAATAAGCCTCAGTTTTCTGCAGTAGGATGACACACAGGTTGATCAGAAGTTGAGGCTGTGGTTTCTGCAGTTAAACTTTTCTGACAATACAAACTTAAAGGTCCCATGTCATGCTTTTCTGGTTATTACCCGTCCCCTTGTGTGTTATGAAGGTGTTTCTGCATGTAAACGGTCTGCAGAGTCACAAACCCTCAAAGTACACCCTGTAGGGAGTAAAACTCTAACACCGAAAAGACCTGTCTGTGCTGCCCCAGAACGCCTCGTTGGAGATTTCTCTTTTTCGAAATGGACCAATCCGCGGAGCTACACACACACACACACACACACACACACACACACACACACACACACACACACACATACACATACACATACACATACACACACACACACTCAGCCAGCCTTATTTTTCTCAGCTGCAGCTCCGCGGATTTCTCAGCCTGAGACAGCGGGCTGTGAGTCTGTGTGTGCTCGGACCGGGCCTCGTCGTGTTCCGCAGACCCCACGTAGCAACCAGGAAACGACACCAGTAACCCAGCTCACACTGTCCGCTCCAGCAGCGAGCCCCACAACGTCCCGCCAACACGGCACCCAGACCCCATGCAGCATTCTCATCTGTTTGTCATTACTGGTGTCATTTTCTGGTTGCTATCAAACTCCATTGTAACACATAATCACTGATGTCCCGCTGTAACGGTGGTGGACTCATCAGAACAGAGTGGGCGAGCTGACCAATCAGAGCACAGTGGGCTCATAGGGAGGTCGGCAGGAGCTCCAACAAGCCGTTTAGGACAGAGAGTAAATCCACATACTATATGCTGTGTGAGAAACCAATGTGAGTTTGGAAAATTGCACAATGTAAATCTATTCTAGTAGACCTCAACAATGGAATTATGATCAGTAGAAATGGCCATGACATGGGACCTTTAAAATGAAGTTGTTAATATCTCAATATCATATTATTTTCTTTCTCACCCTGAGTTTTGTCGTGTTGGATTTTATTTTAATCATGTTTAACCTTCTCGGTGGCCCCTGTTATTTTTTGTATTTATTATGTTTTGAAAATCAGCTCAATGAGACTTGAAATGTCAATCATGTTTTATTATCATTAAAGTTATTTTCCTCAGTTACATGCTGCTAAAGTGGACTCTCAACTTATGATTTGGGAATTAGACCGCGCCATAGGGTCACAAGGCCTTTTAAAAAGACTTTTATATATATTTGATATATGTATGTTAAAATTCTCTCCTCCTTCTTCAGACTCTAAAGCCATCGTGGACGGCAACCTGAAGCTGATCCTGGGTATGGTCTGGACTCTGATTCTGCATTACTCCATCTCCATGCCAGTCTGGGAGGGCGAGGAAGAAGAGGTAACAGAAGATTTTATATTGACTTGTATCTGTCTCATGACTTCAGAAAATAAATAAATAAAGGTGCTATGTTGAATTATTTGAAAATTCTCTGAATGTCGTGTTTGGGTAATTGGATACTGAGAACGTTGTGGATGGTCTCACATTTTTTAAAGAGGCATTACATTCTATACACTCATTGACAACACAAAGCAAACAAAACATGTTCATTGTTACATAAATACTTCTTTTTTTTTAATGGTATAACCTGAAAATTAAAAAGACAATACATCACAATTACAAACCGCTGTGAGAAATGTGACTGACTGGTGCTTGTTGTTGCAGGCAGAGTCAAAGACACCTAAGCAGCGTCTGCTGGGCTGGATCCAGAACAAAGTGCCTGACATGCCGATCAAAAACTTCAGCAAGGACTGGAGGAACGGCATGGCACTGGGAGCGCTGGTGGACAGCTGCGCACCAGGTAATGTGTGTGTGTGTGTGTGTGTGTGTGTGTGTGTGTGTGTGTGTGTGTGTGTGTGTGTGTGTGTGTGTGTGTGTGTGTGTGTGTGTGTGTGTGTGTGTGTGTGTGTGTGTGTGTGGGTGTGTGTGTGTGTGTGTGTGTGTGTGTGTGTGTGTGTGTGTGTGTGTGTGTGTGTGTGTGTGTGTGTGTGTGTGTGTGTGTGTGTGTAGTGTGTGTGTGTGTGGTGTGTGTGTGTGTGTGTGTGTGTGTGTGTGTGTGTGTGTGTGTGTGTGTGTGTGTGTGTGTGTGTGTGTGTGTCGTGTGTGTGTGTGTGTGTGTGTGTGTGTGTGTGTGTGTGTGTGTGTGTGTGTGTGTGTGTGTGTGTGTGTGTGTGTGTGTGTGTGTGTGTGTGTGTGTGTTATTTTAGTCTGTAAATAGTATGCAAAATAATTGTATTTACTTATACGTATCTATTTATATTAATAAATGATGTGTGTGTGTTTGCAGGCCTGTGTCCCGACTGGGAGACCTGGGATCCAGTGAAACCAGTGATGAACGCCACAGAGGCCATGCAGCTGGCTGACGACTGGCTGGGCATCCCGCAGGTTAGATTCCTCTTTAAATGACACATTTACATTTGTTTACCTTTCATTTGTATTATTCAATATTTTTATTACATTTTTTAAGTCATGACATACAGACGTTTCTCTTTGATTGAATGTATAACAGAAAGTAACGAATATAACAAATTAAATTCATTATTACTGTAGCCTTGAATGCTAACAATGCTAAGCTCTAATACATTTAGATGCAGGGGCTTTGCATCTTGCACTGTGCAAACAGCTGATGACCATCACATTATCTCTGAGTGGTGCAGCCTTTCAGAACAGAAGTAGCTCTGCTGTGATTTCCTCCAGAGGTCAACAGTCGCTGGCAGCTCCTCACAGACGCTGTTTGGTTTCCTGATTGTTAGCAGCAGAGGAAACTCACTGACTTTGTTTTACACACTTTTGTTTAAAGCAAGAGGATGCAACCTGAGCTGAAACGGAGATGTATTATAATGGCTTATGTAACAAAAGACTGTTCTTGGGGAAATGATTAGGAAAGTATTTATGTCACTTTGGAATAACTGCTGCAGATATTAAAGCTTATGTTTGTCACTTAACTTTAAGCCCTTTCTTCAGTATGTAGAACAACTCCAGCAGTTAAGTGAAGAAATCTGATTTCATATTCATAGTGGAATTGTAATTTGTGCAACGGCTGCATTACGTTATGCTCTGCTTCCTGTTAGTCTGCTGACACCCACAGGAAGTCTCCTCCAGAGAAAAGCTGACAAACCTCACACCCATGATGGTGGAAAATGAGTTAATTCCATTCAAAGATCTGACATTGTAAAGAGTTTTTTAAATATCCGACAGCTGAGCATGTGAAGCAGAGTGATGTGTGGGGGAAATGACGTGATCAGAATAAGAGGGCAGGGACTGTATGGTGTGACAGAGTTCAGGACTTCCCTGCCACATACCGGACTTTTCTGCTTCGGGCTCCTTGGTCTCAATGAAGGGAAATCTTAATGGGAAAAGTGCCTAATTCTCATTTCACTTTGTATCGCTGAAATGTGGATAATATGTGTCAATAAATGCTTTCTCGTGATTCACATCAACGGTTTACTTCAGTTAGTAGCTCTGAGTCTCGGCAACACGGGGAGAAGCAACGTTTGTTGACATTTAGCAACGTTTTGGAAAGGTTTTATGATCATCTTTAGGAAATGGTTCATTTATAGTAAAACACTTTACTAAATCCTGTGAAGGAAAACCTTAAAATGATCATTAGTGATGTTTCCTAATTATTATTAATGCTATAATTGTTATAGTGTTTTATCATTAGTTTGTCATGTGAAATAATTATATTTGATATATTGTATCATAGATGATTATAGACAGCAACAATTTCATTTTGATTTAATTAAAGTTGACTTAAATACATGAAATAAAATGTGATATACTACTGTATATTTGGTATGGATATTCATGTTCTTCAAATCATTTCCAAAATATTACAATGATTGACCAGAAACCAATTACTATCGAATTATAAAGTACCATCCGTCTAATTTTTTTGTTTTTTAATTTAAATAACAGAGATTAGCCACGTACACACTGACGGTCCAAATCTGATTTTAGAGATTTTCAATAATTTACAGATGTATTTAAGTTTATTATCATAATTCTGACCCGTCTTGGTGTGTGTGCAGGTGATAACTCCAGAGGAGATCATGGACCCCAGTGTGGACGAGCAGTCGGTGATGACCTACCTGTCTCAGTTCCCCAAGGCCAAACTGAAGCCAGGAGCCCCTCTCAAACCCAAACTCAACCCCAAGAAGGCCCGCGCATATGGACCAGGTACACACACTAAAACTGAAAAACAAAATGGTTTAATAGAACACACACTGTTCATAGTTCATTATATTTTTGCAGATGTATTTTAAAAAGTGCGTGTGACCTATTCCACCGAGTGTGTGTATGCTAATGGAGCACGGGTCTGTCTTACAATGTGAGGAAGTGAGCAACTGTTAGTGTGAACAAAGGAAGCCACTCTGTATCTGACACACACACACACACACACATACCAATTGTAGCCTGCAGGAAGAAATTACCTTGAAATTGTTACAGGAAGCAGGACACACACATACACACACCAAACCACGTCACATATTATATTTTTTTGACCGCTGATGTACTTTCAAACTCATGGATCTAAAACTGAAACTGGATTCATTTTCAAGTTTTTGTCATTATATTATTATTATTATTATTATTATTATTGTAAAATGAATATAGAATCAAGAGTTAGGGTGTATAAATATGAAAAAGCTCCAATATATAGTGCAGAAAGTAGAATATTACCAAAAGTCTGTGTCATATAGATAATCAGATTTATACAGACAGTTACACTGATAAATATGGATTGTCTAGAGGTCAGAACTGCAGTGTGGTCAGCAGTATAACTATCTATATGTATTGGTATGTGAGTGCAGATATACAGCAGGTAAGTGATGCAGTAAGTAAGAAGTAACATTAATGTTTACTGACTGGGTGTTGTTGTGTTCTCCTGCAGGTATCGAGCCGACAGGGAACCGGGTGCTGCGTCCGGCCGTGTTCACTGTGGACACGTTCAGTGCCGGGCAGGGGCAGGTCACCGTCTACCTGGACCATCCCGACGGCACCAGAGAGGAGGTACGGCCCCAGAATATCTGTAGAGATGTATAGGAGCCATATTGAGAAACAATGTTTATCAACTCCCAGGTCTGTCAGTGATTTAAAAACATTCAAAAGACTATCATGTGATAATCCTACAGATGCAAGAGGAGGTTTCATTTGAGCTTTTGTTCAAGTTAAGTTTGAGTTATTGTGTTTACTTTAATATCATTTTTCATTACCATATTACTTTTATTTTCTATATGAGAATTTCTTCACATGGAAAAAACATCTACATTTCTTAATTTCAGTCAAATGTTATTTAAAAGTATATATTTTTGTGTTTCTTCTAAATTGGGGGAGATGTGATATAAGCTTATTTGGCTGTTCGTTTAGTCCTAAAAACAGTATTTCTCTGTGTGTCCAACAGCTGAAGGCGGAGCCTAATGAGGGCAAGAAGACGCTCGGCGTCACATATATTCCTCAAGTCATGGGAACTCACAAGGTAAGGGTCATTTCTCTTTCTGTAAACATGTAAAAATACATTAAAAAAGGTTAAATGTATTTAGCTCTTAATGTATTTTTTCTTTGCCATACAACTGAGTGAAATTATTTTTAAAGTCAAACTTAGCTACTTAACTCATCCCTATTTAAGATCTGAAATTCTGTGGAAGGAAGTTTTATCATTCATGCTCTAACATCAATGTCATTTGTTTTTGTTTCCTAGGTAACGGTGATGTTTGCAGGCCAGCAGATTCCCAAAAGTCCCTTTGAGGTGAGCGTGGACAAGGCGCTGGGCGACGCCTCCAAGGTCACAGTGAAAGGCCCGGGAGTCGAACCTGTGGGCAACATCGCCAACAAACCCACCTACTTCGACATCTACACTGCAGGTCAGACACACACACACACACACACACACACACACACACACACACACACACACACACACACACATACACACACACACACACACACACACATACACACACACACACACACCACCTCTGAGGGGGTTTCACACACAGAGACAAATTGTCTTTATAGTAGCATTCCTTCCAATCTGTCCCTCAGACAGGAAGTGATTTCATAGACTGTAAACCACCTTTGAGATTGAAGCTTGGTTTTGTAGAAGACAACACACAGGCGGTCTGTGACTCGCCTCAGTTGCCCCCCGCTCATTGTTCTCTGTGTAACACACACCGGAGGCTTCTTGACATGAGTCAGCTCGTCAGGAATACTGAGTAAAGTTGTTGCTTAAAGCACAAAAGCACTGTTGTGCTTTTTATCAACCTGCTGCATCAAGTTGTTTTTTTAAGATGTGTCTTTAAAAAAAATAAAAATCTTTTCATTCTATTTTTTTTATATACCACAACATTACCCTTTGGTCATATACCTATTTGTTTGTAAGTTTAAGAGCTAGTGTAGATTCAGCTCAGTGGGTGCCGGTAGTACAGAAATCGTAATGTTTTTTATTTGAAAGATGTCATTCAAAACTGTGCAGATCCCTCTGTTTCCAGAAAAACAGAGATGTTGTCACATTCAAACTAAACCTTCTCCCCCTGAATGGCAGCGCACGCTGTTAATGTTTTACCCCTGTTTAAATTACTATAATTCAGTTTTTAAGTTCAATTTCCCGCTACTTTTTCTTTTGATTTCATGCTACTCTAGACTTATACTCCAATATATTTAGTATAATAATATAGTTTAGCTTTTTTACTAGTTCTTTTACACAAGACATACATTCACATTTATAAATAACTTCAGGTTAAGATGAGCTCCATCTTTATCAGCTGTGGTTGAGTGCTTGTACTTGTTCAATGCTAATACTATTGTACTTTTACTGAACTAAAAGATCTGAGCATTTCTTCTACTGGCTTAACAAAACATTTCTCTATCTGTTATCATATTTTCAGCATGGGTGATGTGTTTTCACCATATCAATATATTCAAGTTACAGCAGTGACTGAGGTATAAGGCTGACTGGTGATGTTTCTGAGCAGGGGCCGGTACAGGGGACGTGACGGCCATGATCCGAGACCCTCAGGGCCGGCAGAACGTGGTGGAGGTGATGATGGAGGACAAGGGCGACAGCACCTACCGCTGCACATACAAGCCCACCCAGGCCGGCCCCCACACCGTCACCGTCAGCTTCGGAGGGGCGGGGATCCCCAAGAGCCCCTTCAGCGTGGACGTGGGCCCCGGTGAGTCCTTTTTTTAAGCTAATGAACTTGCAGTATCCTTGCTGTTTTATCTTCACGGCTGATTGCATTTATTGTAAGTCGGCTAAATGGTGTGTATGGTAAAATAATCATGGCCCTACTGAACCTTCCTGTAATGCGTCTCCTCTCCTGATGTGTGTGTTTCTCTGGGTCTGAGCAGCCTGCATGCCGGGGGCGTGCCGGGCCACGGGGCGGGGGCTGCAGCCGGCAGGAATGAGAGTGAAGCAGGTCGGGGACTTCAAGGTGGACACCAAGAACGCCGGCAGTGGAGAGCTGAAGGTCGTCGTCAAAGGACCCAGTGAGTGTTTACACTGCAGAGTTAATTGAAAGGACTACACCCAAACATTTGAAGCTTTATTGACAACATTGACATTTTAATCTGAAAGCGACAGTGGAATCTTTGGCACCTTTTTCTTTTTCTGCATGTCTATTGTCTCTGTTAAACTGGTATGTCTGCACAACGGCAGATAAAGATAGGACTACACTAATGTAAGTGTGTTATTTTTGGCTGATGCTAGTTCTCAGTGCTGCATAGGATTCTTTTAGACTTCCAATAACTCCAGAGCGCTGGAAAGTTCCCCCAAAATTGATGTAATTTTTTCCAAAATTGCCAACAATTTTTTGTTTCAAATGAAATATGGTGTTGGTGGCATTTATCCAGACATGGTTGAGCCCCAGAGGATACATCTTCATTTCACATTTGTTTATGAAAGGTAAATGCAGAGGCATGTTCAGTTTTTTCCTTTTTTAATAAATATTTTATTTATTATTATTGACTAAAGGCAAGGCAAGTTTATTTATATAGCACATTTCAACACAAGGCAATTCAAAGTGCTTTACAAAAATGAAAGACATTAATAGCATATTAACATATTATGAAATGATCTAAATCATGAATCACAGTGCGGTGTGAGATACACACATCTGAACAAACCCCCGTGTGTGTGTGTGTGTGTGTGTGTGTGTGTGTGTGTGTGTGTGTGTGTGTGTGTGTGTGTGTGTGTGTGTGTGTGTGTGTGTGTGTGTGTTGTGTGTGTGTGTGTGTGTGTGTGTGTGTGTGTGTGTTGTGTGTGTGTGTGTGTGTGTGTGTGTGTGTGTGTGTGTGTGTGTGTGTGTGTGTGTGTGTGTGTGTGTGTGGTGTGTGTGTGTGTGTGTGTGTGTGTGTGTGTGTGTGTGTGTGTGTGTGTGTGTGTGTGTGTGTGTGTGTGTGTGTGTGTGTGTGTGTGTGTGTGTGTGTGTGTGTGTGTGTGTGTGTGTGTAGAGGGCATCGAGGAGCCGATGAAGCTGATCTCCAGTCAGGACGGTGTGTTCTCCTACGAGTATTATCCCAACAGCCCCGGAAAATTCACCGTCTCCATCACCTGGGGGGGTCAGCACATCCCCAAGAGGTGAGCTGTTACTGTGTGTGTTCAGAAAATGACCTCAGCACATGATCTGATCTGAATGGTTGGAGCCAAACACTGTGGGAGTGTTGTGTCCGATGTGTTCTTTATTTAGTCTCAGGCTTTTATCATATTCAGTGACCCTCATCCTGGTTTGGTTGACTAAACCAAACCAGGGCTTTGTGGACATTTAAGTCTTATCTTTGTTAAAACTGTAAATATTATTGTATAGTTTGAGTCAAAGAAATTCATTGAAATCCCTTGCAAAAAAGTACATTTGAGTCTTTTATAGGTAGACCTCCCGAACCCTGTTGTTGTCATTGATGACTCAAACTGAAGAAAGTTATTTAGGCTGTACAGAAAACAGAACTGCTGCATTGCAACAATTTGTAATCTTTTTATCAACGCATAAAATAGAGATTTTGTTCAAGTTTTTAAACTTGTTTTTGCAGTAATATTCCACAATTATATTACAGCACAATACAACAGTTAGAATTGAATGACATCGTTGCCCTCTCATCATAATCTTAGTCATGGAGAAAAAAGTAATTCACTTATTAAGTCATCGTTTTTATTAACTAAATTAGAAGTGCAAGTATAATACAGGGAGTTCCGCATGTAAAAAGCAGCCAGATGTAATGGGACTCTCGACAGCAAGATGAGTAGCCACACTTAGACAAACAAGATCTCTATCTGAACTTGTACATGTTAGGGAAATATCTGTAAATATATAATTAAATGCAGCAAAACATTTCACAGTCATGTCCTGTGTCTAAATGCTGTTGAGTCATAATTACACACAGGCAGCCTCAGAGGTCAGACACAAGAGAATGTTCCCACAATGAAGAAGCAATCTTCAAATCTGTGGAGGTTTGGAGAAGCTGACCTTGAGCATGTTTGTTTTATTTCATCCAGCGCTGACTGTTGGGTTATCCAGATACTGTAACACACAGAGAACATGTTCTATCACTGTTTCTGATTATCTGCTGGACAGACACAGAGACAGACAGGGAGAGAGTTTCAAGCTTTTTATCCAGATTATACAAATTAGGACAAGCTACCTGAAGTACTCTGATCAAAAACAGAATTCAGGGTGTCATGTAAACACTTTAACTATGTTTATGAACGCATTTGTCGATACAAAAAATAATGATTCAATTGTTTAAAAGTCCAGACACATGTGCACAGATGAACAGAACACTTCATGTTAAATGAATAACCAGAGTTTTCTTGCTAAAAGTGGTGCAGCCATTTTAGTTTTTGAGTCCTGAGCTGGAAGTTCTGTGAGTAGGTTTTTCAGCAAAGCTCTTGCATACAACATTTTGGAAATCACTGGAAAAACTAATTCTATATGAATAAGATCCCTGGTGGCTGCATTAGGAAGGAAGAACAAAAAGGGAAATGTTAGGTTGCCAGTTGGAAATGTCTGGATCATTAGTCGTGGTCCTGCCTTGTGAACGGCATATTTTGTTTGGCATCACCTGGAAGATTGTCGATATCCACTTTGACCCATCTTCATTTTCTTTTAAATATAGACATATTATCTTTTCTAGCATTTGGATTACCTATGTTGAAAATGTATTGTCTTTTTAATTTACACACAGTATCTATTGCGCGTCTGTCTGTCCGTCCTGGGAGAGGGATCCCTCCTCTGTTGCTCTCCCTGAGGTTTCTCCCATGTTATCCCATTAACTGTGGGGGGTTTCTTTGGGAGTTTTTCCTTTTCCGATGTGAGGGTCTAAGGACAGAGGGTGTCATGAGCTCTACACACTGTAAAGCCCCCTGAGACAAGTGTGCAATTTGTGATATTGGGCCATATAAATGAACTTTGATTGGTTGATAGTAGAAGAAAAACTACATTTACTAAATACCTGGTGGAATAAATATAGTTTAATTTGACATTTAGAAAAGTAAAAGGTGTCTGTTAGTTGTATTTTGTTGCACTGTTAGAGGAGACTGGGACTTTAGATTTTCATTGCCGACCTACACTGTGGCTTTTGTGCACATGATAGTAAAGCCTTTGAACCTGGTGGACCTCTGAGCAGGCTGCACATCTGATGCAGCTGTGCAGCCTGCTCAGAGGCTTGGTCCAGATGTGGCCAAGTTAAATGTCCAGCCTGTCTTAACTCCCAGCTACAGGTAGCCCGGAGACCTCGGTGTTCATACGTTACAGATGCACCAGGACACGGATCATCTACAGAAGGCTAAATCACAGATGAGAGAAAGCCGGTTTAAACATCTGTACAGCTGTGTGCTCGGAAATGCACGTTAGGAAGGGAAGTGATATAACAGTGTTTATAGTGCTCACTCACACAGATGCACCAATTAAAATACAGCACAGATGGCATTGGTGGTGCTAAACGTATGTTTTACTGCTGAAATATTACAAAACAAATATTATTTTGATGAAAATAGTATATAATAAATCAATTAGAATAATACTTATTATTATGATGAATTATAAATAATTATATTGTTACTATAACATATTTATTCGAGTATGGGATGGCATTGTTGTGGTATATCAACTGCCATTTGGCCCTGTTATTTTTAATTGTAAAGCACCCTGGTTAACGCTTGTTATTTCTATTTAAATTGGCTTTTTTTAAATGGTTGATTTCCTTATTTTTAGTAGTAACAGCAGAAGTAGTAGTTGGTGTAGGGGGACGTTTTGGCAGACACTTTAAAAAAAGTTAGACAAAGACACAATTGAAGGCTAGAGGGGAAAAAAGTAAAAAGGAAAGTGTGTGTAATGAAGACAGTAAATCCCAACAGACAGTTTTATTTGGCGTGAAGCTAGTTTCTGAACGCACATGAACACCATAAACACGCGCACACACACGCACGTGTGTCCTCAAGGATAATTGAATGTAGTGTGCTGTCTTATCAAAGCTACACACACACTCTTTACTACTATGTGATTTATGCTTTCTGACAGTATTTTTCTTCTTTCAGTCCATTCGAGGTGTCAGTAGGTCGTGAAGCGGGGCCTCAGCAGATCAGGGCCTGGGGTCCTGGCCTGGAGGGGGGCATTGTGGGTAAACCTGCCGCCTTTGTAGTGGAGTCCGTGGGCACTGATGTTGGAGTGCTTGGTGAGTTATTCTTGGTTTTACTGCTGGACACAATTCTGCTAACCCCCCACTTTACATTCAGTCTAATCCCACCTTCTGTGTCTTCAGGGTTTGCCATCGAGGGTCCTTCTCAGGCTAAGATCGAGTGTGAGGACCAGAACGACGGCTCCTGTGATGTCCGATACTGGCCGCTGGAGGCCGGGGAGTACGCCGTCCACGTGACCTGTGATGAGGAGGACATTGAACACAGCCCCTTCATGGCCTTCATAGTCCCCGACAACAACGCCAGTGACTCTGAAAAGGTCAGAAAGACACAACAACTGATGAAGCGCTGCAGGTTGTATTTTTTGAAGGCCATCTTGGGCTGGGCAATGTTGACAAAATCACAATATTTTTGACCAAATACCTACTGGTGGGTTCAATATATTTTAACATAATGAGATGATAAATAATCATTACTACTGATGAAAAAGTGATAGAGTGGTTATAGGAAAAAGATAGAACAGTCTGGAAAGTTGAAATAATGACATCACTTTACTGTAATGGTTCCTTTAAAAACCAGGAGACCCTTAATCGATATAAATATATTACGCTCTCCGAAATCTAACACGATATCCAACCTCGTATTTCAATTAATATAACATTGATATATTGCACAGCCTTAAGGCCAACCCGGAAGTATCTCACCGTTTTGCAATTGCAATACAACTCAAAATTATCTTTGAAAAGATTCTGTTTTAAACATTTGAACCTGGCCGGATTTCCGCATGATAATTGTAACTGCAGAAATGCAATTTAGCTGTTAATCGTGGTCTGAGTCTATCTGATGTTTACTGAAATCTTGTTGATTTCTATTGTAAAGTTTGGAAAACAAAACAAACTTGTATTCCACATGTGAATCAAGAAGGTAATAACGCCAGAGTATTTTAAGCTTGATGATATAAAACTAATTGTCAAAACGACAAATCACTTTACAGCCAGTTTAGCTTCCACTCGATTCCAAAATATCTGATGAACATGTGCAAGGGTGCACACTCTTAAAGTACCAGTGCTGAATTAGAAAAAAAAATATATATATATATATTCTTTCTAGGCATACAATAATAAACTTAACCTCAATTAAAAACATCCTTATTTAGGATTATTACATTACTTCTTATATATTCAAATTAGAAAAGTTATAACGTCAAAAGTACATATTCAAAGAAATGAACAGGAATACTATGAGAAGGTCCTTGCCTCTAAACATGTATGAAATAATCAGTGTTGGTTCTGTGGTTGTAGGTTCAGGCTTACGGGCCGGGTCTGGAGAAGACCGGCTGCCTGCTCAGCCAACCGGCAGAGTTCACGGTCAGCGCTAAGGATGCTGGGAAGGGACCTCTGAAGATCACGGCTCAGGTACTGACACACTATAAGAGATGTCAGAATACTTATTTGGTTATTAGGTGTTTTCAAATTGTTTGCACATTACACTAAGGATCTACAATAGGGGGTCAAACAATACAAGACCGTTCACAAGGAGGACATTCACAAGACTGTCTACACTCGAATCCACATTTGGTGAAAAAACACACACGAGTTACGGAAAAGAAGAAAGGCCTCGCGGGAGAGTTCTTTCTGACAAAAGCGATCCACATTTGTTGTGTGGTGATTAAGGAAGAAAAAGAGAAGGTGTTGAGCTGTTGCTTCGTCTCTGCTCAGACAGACGTGTGACGCACGTTATTTGCTTGTGTTGTTTCTCATAGCGTCTTCTTATGTTTGCTGCTTCTGCATCTTAAAAGTGTGAATTTCTGATACTGCCTACGATTATACTCTGATTATTTTCATTATCGATGAGTATATTGACTGTTTTTGATGTGCTTTATCAATAAGATAATTTAATAATTCTCATGGTAGCAATAGTTGTTGGAGTATTTTAAGCAAAGTAGTAGTATAGTATTTTATAAGCAAACAAAGACACAATTGAAGGTAAAAGAAGAAAAATAAAGGTCCTCTGTGTGTTTGTGTACTGAAGACCGTACACTCAATCTGAAAATTGTATTTGGCGTGAAGCTAGTTTGTGAACACACATGAAGACTGTAAAACACACACACACACACACACACACACACACACACACACACACACACACACACACACACACACACACACACACACACACACACACACACACACACGTAGAGGCAGCAAGGAAGTTTGTTTATATCGTTCTTCAAACCTAAAAACACTTTTGGATTTCAGTGTTTTATTTTGGGAATCGTAAACCGTAATGTAACCTGACCTCTGTCTCTCTGTCTGTCAGGATGCAGAGGGACTTCCTGTGGAGGTGAAGGTGAGGAGTAAAGGAGAGGGGCTGTACTCCTGCTCCTACACCCCCACCTCCCCTCTCAAACACACCTTGGCCGTCACCTGGGGAGGAGTCAGCGTCCCCAACAGCCCCTTCAGGGTAAGCAGCCAATCACAGCTCCTCGTTAAAACAGGAAGAGATGTCCCGCCCAAACCCCAGGACCCGTTTAAGACAGGAAGTGCTAAGGTCATCCAATCAGAAGCTTTAGTTAAGGCAGAAAGTTTCAGCGTTGTCCAATCAGAGTCAAAGGGGAGTTTTAAGACGGGGCAGGTGAATATTAAAGAAGGGGGCAGTAAAACTAAGAAGCCTCTGGTCATCATCACTACATACACTGAGCAGAGGTTCAGCTACTAGATCAGCTGCACTGAAGTCAGGTCTTAGAAGAATGCAAAAAAAGGGAACTGCTACCTCCGCGACCGACCACGGATAAGCGGGAGAAGATGGATGGATGAAACATGTATCTTCTAGATTTTCATCTCCTACCCCTTTTAACTAAACTTTGTGCTACCGTTTTCACACTTGGAGCAATTCGATCAAATAAAAAATCAATAAAAACAAGACTATTTAATCAGAATACAACGAGAAAAACAACATATATCAAAAAAGGAATAGGGTACTACTTGAAGAAACAAAGGAGGACTGCTTCAGGTAAAAACAAACATAATTAAGAAATTGATTAAAAAAATACATGAAGAAATATGTCCACCATGGGAACCCTTCACTCACTGCCCCCTTTTGAAGCAGGTCACAGAACTACTGCGGCCTTCAGGTAACAATACACCTCTATGTATTTGCAAAGTGCTCATTCTAATGAAATAAAAACACAACAATTCTTAGTTTAAGGTGATTATATACTCATGAGAACATAGTTAGGAATAATATAGTAAATGCCTGCTGATGGATCCCCCAAAATCCTCTACACTGGTTCCATAATGGACATCACTCAGATTTTTTTTCATCTGTTTCTCCAAAAGAAAGTGTTTATTACAAAATCTTTAAGTATTCTTTCGAACAAAACTATACCAAATACTACCCTGTTAGCATATCAGATGGGTAACAAACATCTGCTTGGTAGCTAATATAAAATGTAATACTGTATCTGCAGTATTCTACGGCGTTTAAAAACGTATTAGATTGTGTTTCTAATTAAAACCACAAGTGATGTGTTATTAAGCCAGCAGTACAACATATGTTAATCTGTTGTTTATGTGCCAAAGTGATATTTAACTATTAGTCTGTGTTTATTTGTTTAATATCTGAACTGCATACCTGACTTTCATCATAGAAATGTTCTGTTCTAAATAAGCATGACTGCCATAACTAACACTACTGTTTAATACTTGTTCAACAAACCCAACTGTATGTCTTTTAAATAATGTTCACATTTTATATAATAGATAACCACACTGTAAGCTCTGTCTGTGCACTGTTATAACAACCTCTGGTTTGTCTTTGTCAACCTCAACAAGCATGTTCTGTATGTAACCCCCACATGCACTTCCCCAGTCTTCCCTGCACTGTAACCCCTGCACCTTTTCTTTTTATGCTTTTTTTTACCACTACCCCAAAAACAGCATACATTTATTTCTTAATGAAAATAAATCTTAATGCTGTTGGATGAAAACCTTTTCACAAGTTTTAACATCATGTATTATAATTAAAGTCTTGACAATTAATCTAACAAGCATTCATTTAGGATGCTCTCTTAGCTCTATGTTATATCTGCATTTATGATGATATGATTAAAGAATTTAAATATGTTGCTCCATTGTATTTAATCAAACTATAACTTAGTATATTCATTATATACAACAAATCAAAGTGGAAAGGTTTTTATTTTACAGTTGAAATGCACTTGTCTTCTTTGCAATGTACCCACCTTTTTCATTTTTCAGATTTAGAGTTTTAGCTATGAGGTTTTTGACCTTGTTTATCAGCTGTCTTCCCTTCTCCCAGTTGTTAGGGTTTGTTTCCACCGCAGGACAAATAAGTCTCATGAGGAACTTCCTTGAACATGTCTGAATATATGTTTCTGTGCTGCTAAGGAATTTATGATGATGCCAACCGGCTTCAGGACTTGGCCAGGACTTTCCTCTCTTTGTGTTGAAATGTCAGAGGTACAAAGTCCAAAAGTTTATAGAAGAACATAGTTGATGCAGCTTTGGAGCTTTTAGAGACTTTGCAAGTGACATAATGAGGGTTAAAATCTGGACACTGCAGTTTAGTATATCTGTTCAAAGCTTTTCTTAGCAGTCATTGTCGAACAATAACATTCTACTACATAGAGAAATGTATGTTTACCCAGGTATTTGTACTGGTCCACATAGCATTCCAGCAGAGAAGTTTGTACTTGTCTGAAAGTTATTATTTCAAAGTTTGGAGCTGATGTCACTGTGATGGATCGACAGGCTTGTTGTGAGCTGCAGCAGCCTGCAGGCATCCGCTGCACCTTTTTCCAGCTTTATGTTGACACAGTACGTGAATAAAAAAGTAAACCGTCACACCCAGCTCTCAGCTGAAAACACCTTTTCATTAAAAGTGAATGGTGAAAAAGTGATGGTGAAGGCGGTGTGGACAACACGTGTTACATGTAGCTGCAGTTTTTGTGTTGTCCTGATTCTCATGAAAACAGAATATTTACTTCTACTCACAAGATTTATGAATTTAATTTAAGAGGTTGACTGATACAACTTTGGCTGCCCTTGGTTTTTCAGTTTTTCACTTAAAAGAACCTGGAAGACGGCTGATAAACAAACGTACTGCTTCTCATCTTTGCAAGTCAGAGAAATGATCTGAAATGCCTGACTGGCTTACCGTTCTTATATTTTAATTAAGGGTTGACTTTTGATCTATGTAATACTTTTAAACAAAATATGTTTGAACGATTTTATTCCCTGAACTTGTTTTACCAAAGTTTAATTTAGTCAAATGTGTTTTCTTGCATGCCTACATGAAGTGCATGCATTTTTTATTATATTTTTTGTCTCACGGTGAATCTGTAACTAACATGTTGACTGAAACTAACCATCTGTACTAAAACCAAAATCATTTCGATCAAGTTGAGTCACAAGTCGAAGTTAGTGTGGTTTCAAAATAAATAAATTCTGAAATTTCATTTCAATGTTTTACTGTGTTGTTTGGATCATTTGCTGATATGCATGACAGTGATGTTTTTTTGTATTTGTCCATCTTGGTAAGTTATGTAGGCTAGATACTCCTACATACAATTCACTTTTAGCTGTAGTTATTTGAAGTGATAATTATGTAAAATATAATTTTAGTTTTACCAAAGAAAAAACCCACCCTGTTTTTCAGACACTCTGTGGCTGTATAGCCCACTCTTTATAAACAACTGCATTCATCTCAGCTCAGTGTTTGCTGCGTTTGTTTGATATTTAAAACTAATTTACTGACTCCACCCTGCAGCATATGTCTGTACTTGAAAGTGCTGGTTTTCCAACAGTTCTTGTCGCATGTTTTTCAACCAACTTGCTGTAGAACATGCTTAGAGCAGCTATAAAAGACAACTAGAGCTTGTTCATTTAATTACTAAATGACAATAATGGTACTGTTATTATTTTTGGGTTCATTATGAACTGACCACTCTTGTAAACAGTGTTTTAGAGGTAAAGTCTTAAGACAATGTAAGTTGTAGATGTGATCTGCTTTTACTTATTCATATATGAGTTCTTGTTATCTCTCTATATCAATCAGTTCTTCATTGGTGCCTCTAGAGCTGCAGCCGGGAAATCAGCTGATGAGAAATCAGCTGATGAGAAAACAAAGAGAAAATGCTTTACATGAACATTATTGGGTTTTTTTAACAGGACAAGCCTCTTATCCATTTTAAATATATGTCTAAAGTTCTGATGCACAACTTATATTAATGTCACTTGATCTCAGGGGCTTTACTTTAATTCTTGTCTCGGAACTCCTGTCCAAATATGGAATACATTGATTTAAAAAAAAAAAAATGCTGTTTGAAAATGTGAAATATATATATATACAAGTAAAAAAGCAGAAAAGTAGGGGATCAACGATGGAACCCTGTGGCGCTCCATATTTATGTGGTTGTTTCCGATGAATGATTAAAATAGGAAGAAAAATGTAACTGCTTTGCTGTTATTAACATTGCATTATCTTAATGATGGAATAATGTCAAATAATCGTGTTAATAGTCTCCTGTTTTGGTGCTTGTAGGTGAACGTGGGTAAAGGCAGCCACCCCAAGATGGTGAAGGTGTTTGGTCCTGGAGTGGAGAGAACTGGTCTGAAGGCCAACGAGCCAACACACTTCACTGTGGACTGTTCAGGAGCTGGAGACGGTGAGATGAACAAAGGGACACACAAACACACACATAGTGTCAATTAGGACAGGATATCCCCACATACCGTTTTATTTGGTGTTACAGTATATCAGTTTCCATCTGTGTCAGAACAACACAAACATTGACCTTTAAAATGTGGTCTGTGAATGGTTCTCACACACACACACACACACACACACACACACACACACACACACACACACACACACACACACACACACACACACACACATACGTTTCCCCCTGGTATGTACTAGAGGTGATCTCAAAGCAGAAACATCCTGAAGGGAAATTCTTTACTTTGACCTTCCTGAGCAGATCACACTCACACATGCTCACACATGCTCACACTTCACCATCTACCTGCACTAACCATGTACAGAAATATATTAAAGAGCAACCTAACAAAGCCGTTTTTAGTTGTACCTGTACATGCAGGAATACATGCAAATGACTTGCATTACAATGAGCTCTGCTGTCCAGGATCTATTTAGTGTCATAAATTCACTACACGTACAATTTAAAGAAAAGAAAGGGGAAAAAGCATCTAAAGTTTGTTTAAAATTGCTTCCAGACTGTTTAAGATGGAGGAAGACTGGTCTCTGCCTGTCAAAGCAGCCTTTGAATCTTCACCAATTGCTGCGGCAGAATAATCCATTTATCCACTGTTAATCCGTGTTTTCAGTACATTCCTATAAGCTTCTTAAATATGGAGATTCCCTGCTTTTTTCCCTATTTCATATCAACATAATATCTTTGTGTTTTGGCCTGACCAAAGACATTTCAAGATCCTAACTTGGACTTGAGAAACTGGGATGGACATTCCTCACTTTTTTCTGACATTTATTAAAAATAATAATAATAGTTTGTTGCAACCAGTTGTGGCATGCAACCAAGTGCTGTACTGAAAGGGGACCTATCATGCAAAATGCACTCTTGTACGTCTTTTATACATGAATATGTGTCCCCGGTGTGTCAGGGAACTCACCAATTGTCAGAAAATACAACCCTCTCTCTTTTCCTCTATACCCAAATCTCTATAAAAAAAAGGGGCTGTAACGGATCTGATACAGACTGATCCAGATTTGAATTATTTTCTACGTCACAAAAGGGGTGCTCCGCTTAGTGGTCAATTATCCACCTATCAGGGGAATGAGAGGTTGGGCCACGGCCGGCCATTGCCGCTCGAAAGCACTGGAGACGCTGTAGTACATATGCCAGGCCTGTAAGTGGTGCTGTAGTCTGCCACAAAAGCAGTGAAGAAGACTTCCCACGCATGGTTGCCATGGTTGCCCTTCTGTTTATTCTCCGCTGTGGCTCTTTTTCTCCCTCCCTGAGGCAAGCGTTTGCGCCTTCTGCTTTAAAACAAATGAATAATGACTCTATATAATAAGGGATAATGTGCAGCGACGCGGTCATTATTATTTTCCCCATAATGACCAAGTCGCTGCACATTATCCCGCTTATTACATGGCCACATTCTCAACAAAGTAACGATATGACTCCCAATATTAATTGAAATGCTTTTATGGATTTAGAAAATGATTTTATTGATTTAAAAAATAGTTGTATTGATTTAAATTGGCATGCATCCGCTAAGAAAAATAGTCCGTTAGTCCTACTAACGTAGCAACGGCAGGAACTGCTTCGATAGCGTTTTTGAGGAGCTTTTTGATTACAGATTTGAAAACATCGTTGCTTGCTTTAAAAGTAGCACAATTCATTATCTCAAATCTGAGGCCATGGTTCTCAGCAGGAAACCGATGGACTGTCCACTCCAAGTAGGGAATGAGTCCTTACCCCAAGTGAAGGAGTTCAAGTATCTCAGGGTCTTGTTCTCGAGTGAGGGAACAATGGAGCTAGAGATGGGCCGGAGAATCGGAGCAGCGGGAGCGGTACTGCAGTCGCTTTACCGCACCGTTGTGACGAAAAGGGAGCTGAGCCAGAAGGCAAAGCTCTCTGTCTACCGGGCCATTTTCGTTCCTACACTCACCTATGGTCATGAAGGATGGGTCATGACCGAAAGAACGAGATCGCGGATACAAGCGGCCGAGATGGGTTTTCTCCGCAGGGTGGCTGGTGTCTCCCTTAGGGATAAGGTGAGAAGTTCGGTCATCCGGGAGGGACTCGGAGTTGAGCCGCTCCTCCTTCGCGTCGAAAGGAGCCAGTTGAGGTGGTTCGGGCACCTAGTTAGGATGCCACCTGTGCGCCTCCCTAGGGAGGTGTTCCAGGCAGTCCAGCTGGGAAGAGACCAAGGGGTAGACCTAGGACCAGGTGGAGGGATTATATCTCTTCGCTGGCCTGGGAACACCTTGGGATCCCCCAGTCAGAGCTGGTTGATGTGGCCAGGGAAAGGAACGTTTGGGGCTCTCTGCTGGAACTGCTACCCCCGCGACCCGACCACGGATAAGCGGGAGAAGATGGATGGATGGATGGACAATTCATTATGTCAAACCTTGGAAAGTATCTAGATATCCCTGCCCTAATGCCAAAGTAACTGGCAACTGAATATGTGTCGCCGTTTGATGTCTATGTCTGGACCGCTGCGTAAAAAGGAGGGTTTCTGCCCCATTACTCCTCTTCTTACCTCTATAAGAATAAAACACGGAGGACAGAGATCTCTTTTTCTCCCCCTCTTCTGACAGCCCAGCAGCTGATCTCAAAGCACACTCCCCTCTCCTGCAGGGGGGTGTGGTCAGCTGCAGCTCACAGAATCAGCCCCCCTGCAAAAACAGGGCTGGAAAGAGCAAATAGAGCAGGATCTGTTTGGTTTTTTTTTTTTTAAACTATACATACTTTATATAGGTATGGCCCTACAATATATTGTTCAAATATAGCATGATATGTCCCCTTTAAGTATAATGTTGGGGTACTTGTACTTTACTTGTGTGTTTCTCTTTTCTGCTACTTCGTACTTCTCCACGACATTTCAGATAACTTTTTAGATTCTTACTCTACTGCAGTTATTTGACACATGAAGTTACTTTTTACATGGTTAACACGATATATATGTACTACTAATTCGCTCAGTACTATCTCAAATGTTCTCCATATTGACCAATTATATAAATTAATGAGTACTTTTACTTTAATACTTGAGTACCTAACTTTAACCCCTACTTAAGTACAGTATCAGTACTTTTTTCCACCATTGGTTGCAACCCCCAATTCCTTACAGTCTCTCACAGAGCTGCAGTACATACACTACATGTATCTTGCTCATTCACCTCATGTAGCTCCACATAATGTAGCATATTCAACATATTTAGTTGTTGAGGTGAGGATATTATGGAACAAACAAAAACACAGGAGAACTTTAGGTTTGTTAGAAGCTAAAGCAAGAGTGTGGGTCTTTAATATATAAGTGGATCTCTGTTACAGTATACTTTTGGGACTTAAAGTTCATTATGTTTCTAATACCACTGTACTTTTTAAGTAAGTATTTGAAAGCAAGACTTTGAGTTTTTTTTTAATAAATTGATGAGCAATCACTGAATTGTTACTCAGCAAAGCACCAATAGGCTCCTGCTGGTAGTGAGTATTTGATACTGAAAGGATTTTCCTTTTATGGTCTGAATGTTGAAATATTGCGTCACCACCTGAAGTTTATCTTAACGGTTTTGATTGCTTAAGATGTACAGTGTTAACACACACCCTCTGTGTGTCCATTCCCCTGGGGGAAAGTCCTATAAGAGAAAGCAGTTTTCAGGTTGCCAGTGTTTGAGGAATCTCCCATACTCTGAATTCCTCTGCTGTGATTGACGGCTCAGTGCCCCTGCTGTAAACTCTTTGATTGTGCTGCGAGGTTTGTTCATTGTTTACATTAGAGAGTCTATGACATGTAACATCCCCAGGCAAGATGTTTGTGACATGAGTTAATGCAATGAAGGAACAGCAGTATACTGGATCCCTTTAGCACCTCCCTGTGGCAGACAGTGTCACAGAGGACATTCTTGTAACTAGAATAGAAAAGTAACATACAACATAAGAATAAAAAACAATAGAGTATACATTATATAATATGTATTACACAAAGAAAAATATATAAATGCAGTATTATATGTGAACTAAAGTAAAACATTTAATAACATCAAATAGATCAAGCACATTAAAATAATAATTATAAAGTGAAGTATCATAACACTAGAATAACAATAAAAGTAAGATATATGTATTGAAATAAGTCAACTAAAATAATTAAATATATTATAATATTTACAATATAATACTATTGTAAAGAAAGATTCATTATCTTTTAACAATGAAAATATAATGAATCCATTGCTTCTATTTCCAAATAAATACATGAATTGATATATATTAATCTGTCTGCTTATCTGTGCAGTGTAAATTAAATATTGAGTGTTTTTGTGTTCCTGTAGGTGATGTCAGCGTAGGTATTAAGTGTGACGCCAACATGGTCAGTGACAAAGAGGCCGACGTGGACTTTGACATCATCCCCAACGCCAACGACACGTTCACTGTCAAATACATGCCTCCTGCTGCAGGAAGACTCACTGTGAAAGTCCTGTTCACTGATAAGGTACACACACACACAAACAGAAACACAAAGATGTTGATGGTTTGTTCTTATGAAAATCAATGTGACTTTTTTTCCCTACAGGAAGTTCCACAGAGCCCTTTCATCGTGAAGGTCGACCCCTCTCACGATGCATCGAAGGTCAAAGCAGATGGTCCTGGTCTGGCTCGCACTGGTGAGACACACACACACACTTTTTTGTTTTATTAACAGTTCTATATTGACTAACAAATCTGATTTTGATGATGATCAAAAAACTCCTAAAAGTTTTTCGGGCATTTCCAGGTGCAAAGAAAATATTTTTAAATGAACTGTTATCAAACTTAATGAAAGACACATTTAGTAATGGATGCACTTTGCAAATGACAAGGTAGTTCAAAATGTAAACCATACTTTGTTGTTTGGTTTTTACCTCTTCACAAACTAAAATGAAAATCCCACATGCACGGCTTACTTTTGGCCATAAATGTTTCCAGAAACACATTTCCAAGAAACATTTTCACAATATAAGCGATATTCCTATATCAAACAACCACTAGGAGTTTTAAATATTGGAGTTGACATCCCAAGGTTTTGTTGTTCAATCAGTGACTAGTATCCACCAAGTGTCCATTGCTGGTAAGGGACCACTTGCTTCTAAAAACCACCCCTGTGTGCACTTACCATTGTTTATTTAATTAGTTTGACCTTGTGTCTGTTCTCTCTCTCCCTGTGCAGGTGTGGAGGGCGGTAAGCCGACTCACTTCACAGTGCTGACTAAAGGAGCCGGTAAAGCCCCGCTGGATGTTTCCTTCTCCTCTCCCGTGAACGACTTTGACATCATCGATAACTACGACTACTCCCAGACTGTCAAATACACACCTGTACAACAGGTACGCCAGAGAAATAGCAGCACATGAGGATATATGTAACAGATGCATTAAACATGCTCCTGATCAATAGCTGCATAAAATACACACCTGACCGGCAAACGGTACAATAAATGCACATTTGGGATTTGTGTCTTTTATCAGTCAAATAAGATGATGGTAAGTTTGATCACTAAGCTGTGCAAATCAATCTTTTCTATGTCCAATCAAGTAAATTCAATGGTTTAGTCCAGTGGTTCTCAAACTTTTTCTGTCAGGCCCCCCCTTTGGAGAAAAAAAAAAAGTCGGGCCCCCCCAACACAAATAGTCAGGCTCAGTAGCTCAGGTAGCTTGACGTTTCATAGAGGGTTCGCAAACATTTAGGGTTTCCCATTAATGTACCGGTCGCTACAGTGGAATTTTCTACTGCAACATTCCCCACGCATATACACAGTGTACCCGCGACTGTTACAATGAAGGCTCGATAATCAGCTTAGCAGGGGTAAAGTGCTATTTTTATAGGTGGTGTGTGGACCTCACATAGGGGGGTCCGGGGGCAAGCTCCCCCGGGAAGATTTCATTTTTAAATATTGAAGTTAAATGCATCAATCTGGTGCACTTTGAGAGCAAAATGAAGAGATCTATGGATACATCTCTCAACACGTAATAATACTGTACTGCATCATATTATTTTCGAATCAATAATTTTTTTAATTATGATTTTTTTTTTTTTTAAATCTTTTTTTTTTTAACCATTTTTCCTCCTGGTCTCTCGCGCCCCCCCTGGCATGCCTCTCTCGCGCCCCCCAATTTGAGAACCACTGGTTTAGTCTGTCGATATATATTTGTATTTTTGCTTTATTATCGATTTTTCTTGAATTCCCTTTGCTGCTTTAACTTCACATGTCCCAGCTGTGGGACTGATAAAGGATTATATCTCTTATCTTCAGTGTTGTATCTGCATGTGTCATGTGTCTGCAGGGGGAGCAGAAGATCGTGGTGACGTACGGAGGAGACCCCATCTCAAAGAGCCCCTTCACAGTGGGCGTCGCTGCACCGCTGGATCTCAGCAAAGTCACCGTAGACAACCTGGAAGGAAGTAAGACATCTCTCTCTGCTTCCTGATGGCTTTCTGTCCAAGTTAAAAAATAATTATCAAAAAATGGAGAAAAGTCTTGATGAAATCAAGTAAATCAGGGTTGTGGTTCATTACTTTGTAAACAAAAAGCTCAACGGTAAGGTATACGTCAAAATGCATGCGTGTTTGAAAGTAGGACAGGTTAATTAAATGTTTGAATAAAGTGTTGCTGTTGTGTAATGCACCACCAGAAAATGTATTAGATTGATATTGTTACTAATATGATGAATACATAATAAATGTGTTTCAGGAGCGGAGGTGGATCAGGACCAGCAGTTTATGGTGGACACAAAGGGTGCAGGAGGTCAAGGTCGTCTGGAGGTGACAGTGGTGAGTCTTCAAATCAATATCAGCTTGGGTATTATCCCAGGGTTAGTTTACATAAAGGAAAGTATAAAAAAGTGTTAAAAATGTTACTTAATGAATCGTTCTTGCTTGTGTTGCCAGCTGAGTCCCAGCCAGCGGACGGTGAAGTGCAAAATGGAGCCTCAGCCCGGTAAAGCAGACGTCAGTGTGGTACGCTACACCCCCACAGAGGAGGGGGTGCACGCTGTCAACGTGTCCTACGACGGACACCCCGTCCCTGGGAGCCCCTTCCCTGTGGAGGCCCAGCTGCCCCCAGACCCCAGCAAGGTCAGCATCTTTCTCTCTACAACCATGTTTCTTTTCCTCCTAAAGGACCACCTTAGATCCTAACAATTCTTTAAAAAAAAAAAATTTAAACTTTTAATTTGTTTATTTATATATATATATAATTTATACTTTCTACAATAGAAATATTATCCTCCATGATTATGGGCACATTTTTTTATGAATACCAGCATGAAAATGGGAAAAGAAATCACCAAAATGACATAATCCATTTTTTAACAGTCTATTCAGCCAATTTCCTTTATTACAGAAGAGTAAAGAGTGTTTATTATATATAATAATGCATGTACATTAATATCTGCAGTGTAAATCTATCCATCTAAAGGATGTTATTTTCACCGAGTAATAGTTTACTGTATCCTTAATATTAAAACATTTTGTTGAAATTCTGGGATGTCTAATGGCTCTGTGCCTGGAAACGGGGTGGGGAGGATCATTGAAAAGCAAAGAAAGCAAACGGCAACACAAAAACAATCATGAAAATAACATTTAAATGTGTTATAATAAAAATTGCAATGAAACCCTCTGTATGTCACCATCACTGCCCCCCCCCCCAGGTGAAAGCGTCCGGCCCCGGTCTGAAGGGGGGTCTGGTGGGAAACCCTGCAGAGTTCTCCATCGACACAAAGGGCGCGGGCACCGGGGGTCTGGGTCTGACAGTGGAGGGCCCGACAGAGGCTAAGATAGAGTGTTCGGACAACGGGGACGGGACCTGCTCCGTCTCCTACCTGCCCACGGAGCCCGGGGACTACCTGGTGAACATCCTGTTTGAGGAGGTCCACATCCCCGGGTCGCCGTTTAAAGCCAACGTCCAGATGCCCTTTGACCCCTCCAAGGTGGTGGCGTCGGGGTCGGGCCTGAAAAGAGCCAAGGTGAGCAGCCGGAGAGGAAATAGAAGGAGAATTATGCTTTTTTTTTTAGACCTGATTAAACATTCAGCGGTTTAAATATGGATTGGATCAATTTTGGATCATTTTAGAAATGATGATGTTGTATTATTTGTTTTTTTCACAACCGTTTACTAGTACCTTTTCATTTTAGACCCTCACTCTCACTAGATCATAGTTATCATAGTATTTAGAGTCTCCCACCAAACCAAACTGCTACTTTTCAGAAAAAATATCAATATATAATTCAAAATGATGGCAAGAACAGCATACGGGCATATTTTTTCCAAACTTTGTCTGTTTGTTCCAAGCCCCCAACCCAGATCATAGCAAACTGTCCAAGAGGTTCCAGTGTTCCTGTGTTGATTGTGTGGAGATTATACGAAGAAAGGTTTAAACAAGGGAATATTACTTTGGCTCCTTCTCACTTCTCAGTTAAGATTTGCGCAGATGCATTTCGACCCTTCGCCTCTTTAAATGACAAGCTTTCCATTTTAGATTCTAGATAAAGCTTGTGGTGTGTACAGGTTGGAGAGACCAGTGTGGTGAATGTGGACTGTTCCCGGGCCGGAGCGGGACAGCTCAGCCTGGAGGCGGCGCTGGACACCCCCCCCACCACCCCCACGGGGTCTGCCCCCCGCACCGGTAACACAAACACTGTTCTCCCTCACCAGTAACCAGTATACACACTGATAGCTGTGAACGTCCTTAATGGTGCACTTCTTTATACATGTTAGATATAGTTCACTGCTTCCAGGCAAGCATTTGGTGTAAAGGTTAATTATGTTTGTATTCCCGCATTAAATAGTCGGTGTGAAAAAACAAAATCTCTGGAAGAAATAGCCAAATTAATGTATTTGTTATTGTATTTTTTTCTGGTGTCAAAATGAACACATTAATGAATTCAAGCAGCCAGTTAGCCAGATCTTGCTGGGATTTTGAGTCAGGAATGTCAAAATGGTATCCTAATTTGGAAAAGTCTTAATGTTCTCCTGAAGTTCTCTGACTCATATTGTGCTAAATTAAAACAAATGGCTGTTAGGCAGTGGAAAACTACAAGCATAGTCCTTTAACTAGTTGATAGAAAAAAAGCCCCAAATTCTACAAAACTATTTGTGTTAATTATAAAACATAATCGTCTTTTACATATATTCTTTTGTTGGTGGTTGAAATTTTATTAAGTAACTCTGAGTTTTTGTGACATTCAGACAGTCTTCAGTGCTCTGATATTAATATAAAAGAACTACACTGTGTTACTGCAGGTGTTAAAGCTAAGACGGAGGTGTTGGACAACAAAGACGGGACGTACACAGTGACCTACGTCCCGCTGAGCGCCGGCATGTACACGCTGCTGCTGAAGTACGGGGGCAAGGCCGTGCCTGGGTTCCCCGCCAAGGTGACGGCGGATCCTGCCGTCGACACCTCCAAGATCAAAGTGTTCGGACCCGGAGTGGAAAAACAAGGTGCAGTATGGGTAATCTGTTGGTCAATTGTGTATCTCTGTTTAGTAAACTACATTTTGTTTGAAAAATCTGTGGACTGTCCCTTTAATCATGCTTTTCTCCTCCAGCCATTTTCAGAGAAGCCACCACAGAGTTCACGGTGGACGCCCGGCCTCTTAGCCGGCGGGGGGGGGACCACGTGAAGGCGGAGGTGAAGAACCCGTCCGGAGCGCTGACGGAGTGTCAGATCACCGACCGGGAGGATGGCACATACAGCGTGGAGTACACGCCGTTTGAGAACGGTAACACAAACCGAGACTGAAAACACTCATCATCAGGTGGACTCAAGTCACCGGACCTGAACTCCAGTCAGAATACAAACCAAAAAAAAAAATCTAACAAGATTCACTGTTTTAAAACTAGTTGCAGTATACATACTGTGCTGGTGGAAAATGGCTTTGCATTTGGTTTACAGCGCTTTATGACTTTAGGACTTCGGACCTTTGTGCAAAGTCTTAAGACTTATTTGCGCCTTGCAAAACAACGAGGTGGTCCCATCTCTGCTAATCATAAATCTGTAATCATTACCAAATGATCTAACTGTAACCTATAACAACCCATCGTGCTGTGATCATCAGCTCCTCTATGTCCTGGTGTGTGTTTCAGGCGTCCACAGCGTGCAGGTCTTCTACGACGACACTCCGGTTCCTAAGAGCCCTTTCAGGGTGACGGTGGAGGAGGGATGTGACCCCCGCAGGGTGGTGGCTACCGGCCCCGGGCTCCAACAAGCCCTGACTGACAAGACCAACAACTTCAACATCATCACCAGGTACTGTCGGGAGTAGAGAGTAAAACGTGAAGTTCGTGAAAGGTGAACATTCTTTAACTTGAGCTCAAACTAATGCTGACTTTGTGTGTGTTGATCCTCTCCAGAGGGGCAGGTATCGGTGGTCTGGGAATCACTGTGGAGGGTCCATCAGAATCCAAGATGTCCTGCAAAGACAACAAAGATGGCAGCTGCAGCGTGGAGTACGTTCCCTACACCCCCGGCCTCTACGACGTCAACATCACCTACGGAGGAGAGCACATCCCCGGTGAGATAACGGATTCAAAGAGGCCCTATTCCGCTTTTTGGGGGTTTCCCTTTCCTGCAGTGTGTTACAAAGGTTTTTGTGAATGTAAATGGTCTGCAAAGGCTAACATCCCTGTGTTTCTCTCCCACACACTCATCCACCCCCCCCCCCCCCCCCGACTGAAACACCTCCATTGGACTCCTTTGTTTACTTCAGTGACATCCCTATATAACAGTTGTGCTTCTATTTGCTAGCACGCCAACACATTTTAAGTGATATGCTAAGAGGGGCGGGACATTTCCGACATCTCTAAGCGTTTGACCAATCACAACAGAGCCAGCCAGTTAACCAATCATAGCAGCCTGGGCTCTGGTTTAAGACAGAGGGTGTTACACTAAATGCTGTTTTTTAGGCTCTCAGTTCAAAGCCCATTGATGGAAAGAATAGCTCACAAAAAAGTCTTTCTAGGGATGTACGACGATTTTGACACGTCAACTATATCGGTAGAAAAAGGCTGTACATCTGTTTATTTCCTAAATGCCCTTTATGTCGTTTCCCGTGCAACGTAATAAATGTTATGAACTTAGTGTTTTTCAGTGAATGTTTAAAGGATGTTGTTGATGTTATTGGCTGATAAACTAAGTGCCAGGTCTTTGAAACAAATGTTTTAAAGATGTGGTTGAAGTTAAAAAGCCGCAGCTCTCTTTAATCGACTTTGTCCAGGAAAAGCTCAGCATGGTTTCTCGTTCGACACCTTTCACAGAAAGCTGTGGGTTTGTGGTTCTGCTGTGTGCAGGCAGCTGGGACACAGGAAGCATCAGGATGCAGAAACCACATTACCCAGAAACCACGTCACCCAGATCCAACTCGCAAAGAATTTAACAGCAGGACAAAACTTTATAGAGCTCATAATTATCCAGTAGTTAGGCGTTTGAGAATCTAAGGTCAATGCTGCACGGCAAGTTTAAAAATGTAAAAACCTTCATTTAAAAAATAGTTTCCATTTATGTATACAGATTATTGTTTAAAAATATAAATGAATGAAAATAAATTAAAAGATAATGTGTGAAACAACCTAAATCTGGAGTTGTTTTTTGTTTGTTTCTCCAAAAATAATATTTGTTCTCTATATATACAAATATATATTTATTGTTTTTGTGACTTCAACATTTCCTCCTGCAGGAAGTCCCTTCAAGGTCCCGGTGAAGGACGTGGTGGACTCCAGTAAGGTCAAGGTGTCTGGTCCCGGTGTGGGGTCAGGGGTCAGGGCCAATATCCCACAATCATTCACTGTGGACTGCAGGAAGGCCGGCGTGGCGCTGCTTGCTGTGGCCGTCTCGGCTCCTAAGGGCCAGGCAGAGCCTGTGGAGGTGACGGACAACGGGGACGGGATCCACCTGGTGTCCTACACCCCGTCTGTGGAGGGCCCGTACTCTGTAGCCGTTAAATACGCAGAGGAGGACGTCCCCCGCAGGTACTGAGCACAACCTATTCAGAGAGATCTGTTAGAGATAGAATGGTCACACATGCAGAGCACACCGCACACACAGTGAAATGTGTTCTCTGCTTTTAACCCATCCTAGTACCAGGAGTTTAGTACTAGAGCAATGGGAGTGGGGGGGAAGGGGGTTGTCGGGTGCCTTGCTCAAGGGCACCACGGCAGGGCCCAGGAGGTGAACTGGGACCTCTCCAAGTAGCAGTCCACACTCCATATTTAGGTCTGTTCGGGAACTTGAACCGGCAACCCTACAGCTCACAGTCCAAGCCCCTACTGACTGAGCCACTGCCGGACAAAAAAAATACTAAATCTACAATATAAACTTTTCAAGACCTTGAATTCTTCTATGGCCCTTGAATGCCTATACTTTGGCATTCTATGTTTAGGGGATAATGAAATATACCTTGTTGAAATGTACAAATAGAAACTATTGTGTTGCAAACATTTGGAGGAAAATATTCAGACTTTTATGCTAATTAAGTAAAAGAATACCAAAAGCTGGTTTCTGTTGACTGTAATACATGGGGTAGGAATGTGGGTGGGACAATTTGACAGGGGGTGCGGGCAGGTGGTGGACCTCATATCCTCTCGGGGGGGGGTCCGGGGGCATGCTCCCCCGGGAAGATTTTTTAAATGTTGAAGTTAAAAGCATCAATCTGGTGCACTTTGAGAGCAAAGTTAGGAACTAAATCTATGGATACATCTCTCAACAACCATATGAAACAGTACTGTAAACAGATTTACTTTTTCTTTATGCATATTTTACTAATCACTCCCCTTTTAAACTGTATTTTTGTTTTACTGTCCTATAGTATGAGTTGGAATGATTTCATACCTGTTATTCTCTTGTTTTTTATAATGATTATCATATAAAGGTGTGCCTTGGAAATACTTGTTTACATGAGATAACTTAGACTAAAGTCAACGATCTAAACACTCAGAGAGTCCTTTACCTCCCTGAGCTGACGTTATAAGATTTGTCTGACAGGAGAGAGCTCTCCTCCTCCTTGTTGTAGAAACAACTCCTTATGTACGTTAGCGCTCGCTCGCTCGCTCACACAAAATGCGCTCGTGCCACACACACAGCCAGGCTATGACACACAAAGACCCAGAATAACTTTTAATGCTGTATCCTATTATTTTCGATGGCTTTATGACAGATGAACAGATCACCACTGGGCTTACAACTAAAGACACAGCTACGCAAACAACGCCGCATGTGTACGGCTCTGAGAATCTGCCTTGGTACAAAGTAGCAGTGAAAACATGGTACGGAGTTTCATTGATTTGGGCATTCTCTCAATAAGCAAGTGGAATGGATTTGATAGTGAAGCACTGACACAGCGCTCTATAAAGGGCGGAGAAGGGATAGACCGATTCACGGACTTTCCACATGGTAAAAGTGGGGGGGGTCTAAACTAATCATTTTAAAAGGTGGGGGGGACTTGTCCCACCCTCATATAATAGCTGCGTGTAATACATTAATATTCCTTAATTAAATTGTTACTTTATTGTAAAATTGAAAAAAAATCGAAAACATAATCCAATTTTATTTCAGAAATCAGAGCACAATCTGAAATCCTATCTTCTTCCCATTTGGGGATTTTATTCCAGCAAAGTGGACACTGCAGAGAAAGGGCAACAATCAAATAAGTAGAGTTAAATGTTTAAATAGAGAGGTGAGCACAACCTGTTAAACCCGCGGGGGCGAAAGCACAACAATATGTCTCAGGGCTTCTTAACATTTAACAACCTATTAATGTGTCTTACCCACTTAACGGGAAGCAACTCAGCTAACTGATGATATGAACCATTTTTACCGAAATAAAACACAACTCTAACGCCGAGCGTCTGAATTAGCACTAAACGAAAGAGTGCTGACGCACTTGGCACATAACTCACAACTCACGGTAGCGATCTTTTATACTTCATGCAATCTGCACAGATTGCACAGATACCAATGTTATAAGTATCATCACTGAGCGACCAAAACAGGAAAGACAACACAACTTCACTTTACGGGGCCAAAACGGCAAATACGTCGTACCTTTGCTGTTTTCTGATCAAAAGTTGTGTTCAAGGGCATTAAAACGCTGCTGAAGATTAATCCAATGTCTCTGTGTCACTTTGAAATGATTACTGATAATCCATCATAACATTTAGGAACTTCCCCTCGATTCTATTGTCTCTAACGGTTCAAAAGAGGTGTCAATCACCATCATCGACCGATGGGTTCCAGATGTTTGTTTTTTTTACTAAATCTCTCTAAAAAGGTAAAATGTCACTTGTTTTGCATCAATCTTGATACAGGGTACTTATTATGTTATAGTTTGGATTCCTAAAGCTTTTAGTCTACCATCCCATCATTCAAGGGTGGTTTTCACTATAAATGATGGGGTTTTTTTGGACGGAAACTATAATTTACATTTTTTTACTATGTTAAATCTGAATTTACTTAAAAACAAAAAAAACATCTATGGCATGTCATTTTCGAGCCTGAGGCCTGAAAAACAGGCTTGGGGTTTAACAGGTTAATAAAATAAAAAGTCAAATAAGTACACACCCAAGGTAAAGAAAATAGGTAGCAGCATTATCAAAGTAAACATATACAAATAGTGAAGAAGCAGCCAGTTATAACATGAAGAAATGGCTAAGCAGTATATACTCCATGGCGTTGTTCCAGTCAGTATCTGACAGTCCCTCTGTGTGCCCCCTCAGTCCCTTCAAGTTCCGGGTCCTTCCCACTCACGATGCCAGTAAAGTGAGGGCAAGCGGCCCCGGGCTGACCAGCGGCGTGCCCGCCAGCTTCCCCGTGGAGTTCAACATCGACGCCAAGGACGCCGGCCAGGGCCAGCTGAGCGTGCTCATCACCGTCAGTGACACACTCATAGCACACACACATTTATAAACAAACCTCTGAATGTTATTTTTTTCACAGCTACCTTTTTCTAAACCTGAATGAATGTAATAAACCCAAACTTAAATGTAGGAGCTTTAGTGTGTCAAGACTATAGAATGACATTATCTGTCTGTTTTTTAAGAGATAAAGGCAGCAGTTGTTATCAAAATATGCCACAGCTTGATCATAAGACTAGCAAAATGAATCTTTTTCTTTCTTTTTTTCATGTCCCTTTAGGGGCTCCGTATAAATGAGTGGAAACAGGTTAATAGGAAAATGTATAAAACCACTTAAATCTGTAAAGGTTTTTTTTCTCGTTTGTGAATATAATAAATGCATTCTGTCCCGTCCTCCCTCCTCTCCAGGACCAGGATGGTAAACCCAGGCAGCCCACCATCCACGACAACGGTGACGGAACCTACCGGGTGTCGTACATCCCCCACCGGGCAGGCCGGTACACCATCGTCATCAAGTACGGCGGCGACGACATCCCCGCCTCGCCCTACAGAGTCCGAGCCACCGCCACCGGAGACGCCAGCAAGTGCACAGTCACCGGTACGTTGGCACGGAGGAAGATGTAACACAGAGAACATAAATAATCCCAAATATAAATTACGCATTAAAAAACATTGCTGGAGGGATTGGCCACATTCAAATCATTGAGTAAAAGACTTATTCCAACAAAACACACAACAACCCTTAATAAACTGTGCAAGACGGACAATAGTTGACCATGGAATACTGATTTAACTTAAGATAATTACAGTATTATACTTTACATTTCAAGCAATAATCAGGTTTCCAGCATGAATATCTTTATTACAACTTTTACTACAATTTAAATATTGTTATATATACATTTTTCTCATATTAATTGTTGCTATATATTGTAATAATTTGGCAGACACACTACTTTGCTTTTTATGTTTATAAATATATTATATAATATATTTTATGTTATTTCAATTTATAAAAAAACTGTTAAGGAACCAACATTCTTAATTTAACTCATTATCTTATTATAAATATTAGCTTTTTATTTAAATATTGTTTTATTTAATTTTGAAATATAGCAACTGTAACAAAACTAAAATGTTTACATTAATTTCTTATTTTTATATATTCATATTTTAGCTCATATTATCTTATCCTATTCTAGTTTATTGTGAAATGGAGCAACTACAAGAATCCAACTTCATAAAACAAACAGATTGTGATTGTTAATCCATTAACTGTCCTCTTCCTGCCCCCACCCCAGGTCCGGGTGTGGGTCCCACGGTTGCCATCGGCGAGGAGCTGGGCCTGGTGGTGAACGCTAAGGCTGCTGGGAAAGGGAAGGTGAGCTGTGTGGTGGTTCAGCCCGACGGTAGCGAGGTGGAGGCCGAGGTGCTGGAGAACGAGGACGGCACCTTCGACATCTTCTACACGGCGCCGGCCCCCGGGAACTACGTCATCTACGTCCGCTTCGGGGGGGAGAACATCCCACGCAGCCCCTTCAAAGTCATGGTGAGGGGGAGAATACATTTGTGGTTAGGTTTAGGTTCATACGGCTCTTATGGGGATCCTAAATGGTTTCATGAAAGTCGAGGTCGTCATAAAGCTGAGAACTCAGTACATTTATTTACAGTTTTATATAGAGATTTGTTTTCAAAGCACCATAACTGTGTTTTTAAGTCCTTAACTGCGATTATTGTCTATACATCTATCTATACAGGCTTAAAGGTTTATTTCTTGTCTTCCAGGCAGCTGCTGGTTTGTATTCATGTTAACATCAACACAAATTACTCTTTGACTGTCGAAGCTTTGTTGAGATGTATAATCTATAACTGTGAAGATAAACTGCACAATGCAATGTAAATGCAGATTGATTTGAAAATGGCCAAAAACAATCAGCTGATGCAGCTTTTGGTTGATTAATTTACTTTTTGACCTCATACCTTCAGTTTACAGGAAAGGATTTACCCACAATGCAGTGTGTGTGTTTTTGTTTGTGTGTGTGTCAGATGTTAATCATTACTATCGTGTCTTCAGGCTACTGATGAGGTACCCATCATGCAAGAGGAGAGGTCTCTTCCGTCACAGGCTTCGGCCCCTGGAGTTGGGTTCCAGCCCTGGGTACCCAAAAGCACTCACACACACACGTGCACACACACATGAGGCACAACACAGTCGTATACTGACGTTACACCAAATGTTTCCTACAATTGTCAAACACAAATATCAATCAAGGAAACATCTGTTTGATTTGCCTTAAAGGGGCATTCGTAAGGGTTGTGTTTGGCTGTCATAAATCGACCTTTCATCCAGTATAAAAACCCATTTTTATGATACACTTTCTTAATCTTGGTCCAACTACATATTCCAACTGGATCTTCATTTATCAGAGAAGAGGAGAAGGTTATCAAATGCTAACGGCAGTCCAACAGCACTTATCCTTATAACTGCCTAATTCAATGTTTTAACCAGTTTTAATTACCTGGTTTGTTTGGGTAGAGGAGCCTTTAATTCAGTTCCTGGTAAAAACCTCTTGAAAAAACCCACAATGAATTGAATCCTAACTAGGAGAAGCTCCAATGACAAACTCCCATTAACCCAAATTACCTCACAATCCCAAACAATTAATTTTGTTGTAGCTGATATAATCAAGAGAAAAAAAATTCATATTACAATTTCAAGAAAATCACCATACACTATATGAAAACGTGATTTGTGTAAAGTTTCCCTTTAACACACAGTAGCATAACATAGTCACAAAATGAACAAAACAAACACACACACACACACACACACACACACACACACAGCTCCTCTCTCTTGCAGGTGGCTGCTGGGTAAAATCGCCCCTTGCTCTCTCTCGCTCCATGCTAAGTTGGACTTCCTCGCCTGCTTTGCCTCATCCAGATCATCGCTTCTCTTTTTGTCTCCCAATCCCAATGGGATCGCAGAAATCACCTAACAGCGTAACGTGAATATAAAACAGTCCCAGGTATCTTTGTGATGCAGGAAGCTTTGCTTGAGGATCCATATGTTGTCCTGCAGGGGGATTTCTGTGGTGGTCTGTCTTTCTCCTCTTCTTCAGTCACCTCATCATCATCATCATCATCATCATCATCATCATCATCATCATCATCATCATCATCATTCTAATTCCTCTCTGCTCCCTCGCTCTGCACTTCCCAGGATGCCACAGGCAGCAGCATGTTTCTGTTGCAGGGCACTGAGACTGACAGGAAGTTGTTTCAGGGTTGAATCAAAGTGTTGACTTCCTGTCTCTCTGTCTGTCTTCTGCAGGTGACCTCAGATGGCTTTGATCCTAATAGCAGCAGCATTAATGGAAGCGGCTTCAGGCCGTTCGACATGGTGATCCCTTTCTCCTTCACGAAGGGAGAGATCACAGGTGATTTTTTTTAGATTTTCAGTTGAAGTGTTTTTCCATTAAAACATCTTGAACCTTGAACATCTTTCTTGTTAGTTGGTATGAGAGCGATGGCGTATTGATGATTTTTGTTCTTGTGGTTGTATACATTTATATTTACAGTGCCATATACAGTGGGGCAAAAAAGTATTTAGTCAGCCACCAATTGTGCAAGTTCTCCCACTTAAAAAGATGAGAGACTCAAATCCTGCAGTGCCAGACGTGTCCCCCTGCTTAAGCCAGTACATGTCCAGGCCCGTCTGAAGTTTGCTCGAGAGCATTTAGATGATCCAGAAGAGGATTGGGAGAATGTCAGATGAAACCAAAATAGAACTTTTTGGTAAAAACTCAACTAGACGTGTTTGGAGGAGAAAGAATACTGAGTTGCATCCAAAGAACACCATACCTACTGTGAAACATGGGGGGTGGAACACATCATGCTTTGGGGCTGTTTTTCTGCAAAGGGACCAGGACGACTGATCCGTGTAAAGGAAAGAATGAATGGGGCCATGTATCGTGAGATTTTGAGTGACAACCTCCTTCCATCAGCAAGGGCATTGAAGATGAAACGTGGCTGGGTCTTTCAGCATGACAATGATCCCAAACACACCGCCCGGGCAACGAAGGAGTGGCTTCGTAAGAAGCATTTCAAGGTCCTGGAGTGGCCTAGCCAGTCTCCAGATCTCAACCCCATAGAAAATCTTTGGAGGGAGTTGAAAGTCTGTGTTGCCCAGCGACAGCCCCAAAACATCACTGCTCTAGAGGAGATCTGCATGGAGGAATGGGCCAAAATACCAGCAACAGTGTGTGAACACCTTGTGAAGACTTACAGAAAACGTTTGACCTCTGTCATTGCCAACAAAGGGTATATAACAAAGTATTGAGATGAACTTTTGTTATTGACCAAATACTTATTTTCCACCATCATTTGCAAATAAATTCTTTAAAAATCAGACAATGTGATTTTCTGGAATTTTTTTTCCTAATTTTGTCTCTCATAGTTGAGGTATACCTAGGATGAAAATGACAGGCCTCTCTCATCTTTTTAAGTGGGAGAACTTGCACAATTGGTGGCTGACTAAATACTTTTTTGCCCCACTGTATATATTTATGGCACTGTTAGGTTGTACCTCGACGACCCCCTTTTCAAATACAGTTTGACTTATGATACAACGCTCTTGAGTTATTGTAAATGTTTGAAGCACACAAGTTGGAAACAATCCAAGTAATATTAGTGTAGCCTAATCTTTATCTGCATCTGTGCAGATATACAGGGTTTAAACATCATGAATAGACATGCATAAACCAATACATCCAATCTTTTTTGAGACATTTTACTAAAATCCACAAATGTCAAACTCATGATGGGGATAGAGAAACATCAGAGAATCACAAAAGTCTTTAAGATTCATCCATCCAATAGTTGAGATTGTTCTGTTAGGAACAAAGTGGTATACCTACCAAGAGATAAAGAGCCACGTGTCATACTTTCATACAAGTAACAGAATAATACAACAAATTCAAAATGAATAATCGGATTGAATCATAGATTATTTACATGTGTCTCTTTCTCTGACCCTCAGGGGAGGTGCTGATGCCTTCAGGTAAATCCGCTCAGCCGCTGATCTCTGACAACCTGGACGGGACGGTCACAGTGCAGTACTCCCCCACTGAGGCCGGCCTGCACGAGATGCACATCAAATACAACGGAACACACATCCCAGGTCAGAACACACTCTCTCTCTCTCACACACACACACACACACACACACACACACACACACACACACACACACACACACACACACACACACACACACACACACACACACATCCCAGGTCAGCACACACTAACAATCTCACAGTTAAGCCATAAATGCATGTCGAACACCTTTATTTTCCTTCATTGGAGCAAAGGAGCACAAACCATAAAAACAGAAAGTAGGTAAAAAGCATGTAAACTGAGGACTACCCATGTTTAAGTGAAATGCTTCTTTTTTTTTTACAGAGTCTCCTCTTCAGTTCTACGTGAACCACACCAGCAGTCCCAACGTCACAGCGCACGGCCCCGGGCTCTGCTATGGAGTCGCCAACAAGGTGGCCACATTCACCGTCTTCACAGAGGACGCCTCCGAAGGTACGTTAGCTACAGGACCCCATCCACACTTCTCTAGATCTAAGTTTCTCCACAAAGAATCAATCACCTTCAAGCTCACTACCTTGTTTTCATCAGTCCAAAACCCAACAAAATCAGAAATGCAAGATTATAATTTGGTAGTAAGCGGTTGCGTTTGTAGCAGCAGTAATAGTGGCGTTCTTTGCATTTTGCATGCAATTCAGTTCAGCGATAACATCCTGTTTCAAATTGAATCTGTCTGTCTGTGCAGGGGGTCTGGACCTGGCCATCGAGGGTCCCTCCAAAGCGGATATCAGCTGTGTGGACAACAAGGATGGGACGTGCAGCGTCAGCTACCTGCCCACTCTGCCCGGAGACTACAACATCCTGGTTAAATACAACAGCAAGCACATCGCCGGCAGCCCCTTCACCGCCAGGATCACCGGTCAGCCTCACATACACACACACACACACACACACACACACACACACACACACACACACACACACACACACACACACACACACACACACACACACCACACACACACACACACACACACACACACACACACACACACACACACACACACACACACACACACACACACACACACACACACACACACACACACGGAAAATGGGTGGATGGAAGTCATTCCATCCAATCAGTTTGTTGATTAGCTTTAAATCGCAATTTCTGAATCATGAATGGTACAAAACAGATAAGTTGTATTTTATTGCTTAGAGCGTTCAACAACACCTTTTTGGTTTCTTATGCCAGCCCCACATAAGTGCAGCACAAATGCCCCAACTCACAATGTTAATCAAAGTGCAACATGGTTATTCTATCTGGCTCGGGATTCAGATCCATTCTAACATTTTATTGGTAATTCTGCTTAAGACAAACTGAGCAGAAAACATATGTTTTTGTTTCTGAGTTCTATCATTAAAACTTCTTAAAGGTCCCACGACATGCTTTTCTGGTTATTACCCGTCCCCTTGTGTGTTATGTAGCTTTTTCTGCATGTAAACGGTCTGCAGAGTCACAAACCCTCAAAGTACACCCTGTAGAGAGTAAAACTCTAACTCAGAGAAGACCTGTCTATGCTGCCCCAGAACGCCTCGTTTTTCTTCCTGGGTACAGTGACGTCACGTGACCATACCCAAATGGACCCATTGATCTCGCAGCGGCGAAACTGTGGCGCGCTTACACTGTAGGTGCGCCGCGTTTGGGGGTGCGGGTGCTAGTGGAGCCTCGCAGATGGGGGTGCTGCAGCCCCCTCAGCACCCCCCCTTCCCGCATCCATGGTGCACAGACCTATTAAATCGCATTTTTCAGCTACATGTCCACAGGTGTGTATTTACCTGTGTGTGTGTTTCAGAGGACAACCAGCGGCGCTCTCAGGTCAAACTGGGCTCTGCGGCAGACTTCTCTCTGGACATTAATGAGACGGACCTGAGCCTGCTGACCGCCAGCATCCTGGCTCCGTCTGGCCGTGACGAGCCCTGCCTGCTGAAGAGGCTGGCCAACAACCACATCGGTAACACACACACACACACTCAGAAACTCTCCATCTTCTATTCCAACTTTCATTCCCTCTTGACTGTTTATCCCTCTACCCCCTCTCTCCTCTTCCCAGGTATCTCCTTCATTCCCCGGGAGGTGGGTGAGCACCAGGTCAGCATCCTGAAGAACGGCCGTCACGTGGCCAACAGTCCCATCACCATCATGGTGGTCCAGTCTGAGATCGGAGACGCCAGCGCGGTCAAAGTTCACGGCGATGGCCTGGTGCAGGGAACCACCTTCAACAACTCCAGCTTTGTGGTCGACACGCGGGAGGCTGGTCAGTGTGGAAGCCGATTTTAATTATTTCTTCTTCTTTTGCCATTTTGACTTAAGTAGTGGCTTGACCACAGACAGCTTTGTAAGGGTTTACCATTATAATAATGTTTACATTTATTCATGTTTCCCAGAGGATGAAATTGAAAGAAAACGCTGAAATAAGATGTAGAACATGGTGAACATCATACTTGCGCAACATTAGCATGTTAGCATTTAGCTATCCACCGTCTGCACATCACAGAAGTACTAGCATGTAGACTCTTATTCATGTGTTTGTTATAAACTTTAGGTCCTTTATCGGTAATAATATTGTATGTATTAAACTATTTTAATAACATTGTAATCACAAAGTTAATTCTGAGATTGAGGAACACAATATAAACATTAAATGCCTGTTTCTGCTGTTAGTGAGCCACTGTTAACTTCGTGTGTGTGTGTATTCAGGTTATGGTGGCCTGGCTCTGTCCATCGAAGGTCCCAGTAAGGTGGACATCCAGACGGAGGACATGGAGGACGGGACATGTGGAGTCACCTACTGTCCCACTGAACCAGGGAATTACATCGTCTCCATCCGCTTTGCAGAGGAACATGTCCCAGGTAAAAAAACAACATTTTTATTTGCTGTTGGTGAAAATAATATATCATTTGACTATAGGTAAATTCATTTGATAAAAGGATTCCTCTTTGAAAAAGCTACCATAAATGTTAAACAATATTTTGATTGTGTTGATGTGAATAATTGTTCCAAAAAAAAATTAATGGGAGTAAAACTAATGTTAATGTAATCCGACTACAGTCGGATTGGATTTAAAGGCCCCCATTGGACTATTACAAATATAAAAACATATGACATAAACAGTGTATATATGTCATATGTCATATGTTTTTATATTTGTTGTCACGACCAGATTGAATCCATCAATTAGAACATTTGAAACTAAGCAAACAGACTTTTCTAATCATCATAGTTTCAGGATTGTTCAATGCCTAATAAAGAATATACTTGAATTACCCATAATGTGATATGTCTTTTCAGAAGAATAATGTGTGTGTTTGTGTGTGTCAACAGGAAGTGCGTTTACTGTGCGGGTGACAGGAGAGGGTCGTATCCGTGAGAGCATCACCCGGCGACAGAAGGCGGCGTCTGTTTCCAGCGTGGGGAGTGTGTGTGACCTCAGTCTGAAGATACCAGGTACAGTACACACACACACACACACACACACACACACACACACACACACACACACACACACACACACACACACACACACACACACACACACACACACACACACACACACACACACACACACACACACACACACACACACACACACACACACACACACACCAAATACATCTTAGTTTGGTACAGATCCTGGCAAAATAAATCTCCCCATAAATGAAAATGAGGATAATGATTCAGAAATGAACAGTCCCTGAACTTTCATTAATAATATTGCAATTGCCATATCAGTCAAAAATAATGGCAAACCGATATTTTTTTCGAATTTGATAAGCCCTCATCCGATGGCTCATGATCAGACTCCCTGAAGGACAGGAGCAGCGGCTCTCATTTCTAGAGGGTTTCCCTGGTTCCTTAAAAAGTCTTAAAAGGCATCAAATGTATTCATAATAAACTGCAAAGACCTATAAAGTAGGATGTTAATCGTTTTTTCTGAAGCTGCATTATGAAATCTCAAAATAAATGGTAACACCTATGTAAAAACGTTTTACTGAATATTTCTGAAATAGACATCATGCCGATCTGGATAGCAGAAAAAGTCAGTGGAACGTTCCTTTTGTATTTGACTCCACTTAAAGGCAAAGACATGTCTCAGATGTGTTGTATCCATCGCCTGTGAACAGCAGTGAGCGTTCAGCTGTCTTGTAAGTCAGAGAGAAACTCTTCAGGTAAGCGTTAGCAGCTCCTGATATTTGGGAGCTGAAATCTGACACGACCTTCAGACTGAACACTTCTGCGTCCTCGGAGCTGCTCCTCCTTTTCCTTTTCTCAAACCAATTCCTGTCTGAAATGTCTCTGCTTTCTGTCTCATACTGCTCTGGTGATGTTTGTCAGTTTTGTCGTTCACCCTTTCTTAATCTCTGATCTCCTTTACTCTTCTTCTATCCTTCCCTTTGTCTCACCCTGCATCCTTCTTTCTTTAATCTCTGTTTTTACATTTTTGTCTCCTTATTTTTTTGTTTTCTTCATTTTGTTCCTTTCTTGTTTGTCCTTATCCTCCTCCCTTTTCTCCATCATTGTTCCCTATTTTCCTCCTCAGCTTCTCCTCTTTTCCTCCTCCTCTGCCTTCTTCATTTCCTTCCTCCCCCTCTCCGTGTGTCCTCCTCTCTCTTTTCCCCCCCTTCTTCCTCTAGTGAGCTGGTTCCTGCTGGCCCTCTCTCGGCAGCAGCTCCTCTCTCCCCCCTCCTCCCGCTCCTTCTGCTCCCTCTGGTGGTCTGGAAGATCCAGCGGTCGAGGGGCTCGTTCCTCTGCTGTTGCCCAGGATCCGAGCCTCTCCCCTGGGCACGTGCGCCTCATCTCCGGCCTCTCCGGCCTGGTGCTGGGGGGGGGGAAGAGGGCAGCAAGGGGGGTTTGGGTCGTTGATGCCCGCTGCTCAGTGGGTAGTGCCAGGGTGGAGGGTGCGTTGTTGCTCTGTGGCACTGTTTTTTTCAAACAATGTATCACCTTTTAAATATATTTCCTGAAAAGAGCAATTGACTTCTAGTAGAGCGGAGACTTTATTGTTTGAATACTTTTCATGCAGAATGTGCAACCACATTTGTTGTCAGCTTGTTCAGGTTAGAGTTACTATTACATTACTTAATACTGCTGGCTAGATCATCTTTAATACTATATGAAATATTATAAGTACAATATTTTCTTTTTAAATCTAGTGGAAATGCACATCCAATTCAAAATCCCCAAGTAAAAAAATAAATTAAAAAAAAACCTTACAATTTTACTTCTGGAGTAAAAAGTAAAACTTTCAACCACTGAATAACATCCCAAATTCATAAATACCTCAAATTAAGGTCAAAATAGAAAAATAAAGATAAGATGGCTCTTCCAGTACTGCATCTTTTTTTATTTTCACAATTTATTGAGAAACTTGGACTTCTTTTGACTTTTTGGACTCATTGTTTTCAGCTATATTGATGCTAAAACAAACACACATTTAACACAAATAAGTTTTCTTGATTTTCCAACTGAGCAAACATCATCTTCAATGTGATAGCATTTATAATGATTTGCATTGAAAAAAAGGAATATTAGACAATCTGGTTATCAAACTTGTATTTACATTATTTTTATTGAACCTATCATATTATAATTATTTAAGAATCCATGCACAACTGTTTACAAAATGTATATTAAAGAAAAACCTGCCGCATATTTCAGAAACTCTGCTCTAGGGGGAACCTCCCAGTGTTTGTAACATAACTGCAACTGCTCTTAATTTCTCTTATCCTCATCATTTTTCTACTTGGATAATTTACCTGATTAATGTAATTGTATCAAATCATAATCAAATATGTACTCATAATACAAAAATGCTTTTTTTGAAAAGCTTGTAAAGGTGGAGCTAATATTTAATAACTTTATACTGCTGGCTAGCTTCATGATACTATATCAAATGTTATTTTTTATTTGAATTTTTTTTATTAATAATGTAAACCTACAAATTAAGTGGTAACTAAAGTTTTTAAGATAAATGTGGTGCAGCAAAAAGTAAGTACAGTTCTGGAATAAATGTACTAAGAGTAACTTCCCAAATGATTACAAAAATAATCCATATGTATAATAACCCTCTTCCTGTGTGCAGCGATCGACATGCAGGACGTCTCCGCGGAGGTCTCCTCCCCCTCGGGGGCCCGCCAGCCTGCAGAGCTGGTCGCCGCAGGCAACGACACCTACTGTGTGCGCTTCGTTCCCACGGAGATGGGCGTGCACAGCGTGAGTGTGCGGTACAGGGGCGCGCACGTGCCAGGCAGCCCCTTCCAGTTCACTGTGGGGCCCCTGGGAGAGGGGGGGGGCCGCAAAGGTGAGGGCAGGAGGTCCGGGACTGGAGGGAGCCCAGGCAGGAGAGCCAGGTACACACACAGACACACACACACACACACACACACACACACACACACACACACACACACACACACACACACACACACACACACACACACACACACACACACTTGACAATAATTTAACCGAAATACCCTGCCAGGTGTTGCAAACCCTTTTCCATTTAAAGTAAAACCAACCCGGTTGTTTCACGATGATTCATAACGATAATAAACCAGTGACAGAAATATCAGAGTTTTGCTTACCCTCTTTTTCTTAAGAAGCCCAGCGAACAACTAAACGGGTCATAAACAAATCATGAAATAGTATGCTTAGAAAAAAAAAATCATAATTTACTTAGCATTTGATTATTTTTTTTTTAAATCATATACTGTAATATGTTTTCAAAAATGTCCCTGCCACTCCTCTCTGATGTGACTCCACCAGCTGTTCAGACCCCAGCAGGGAGAACTAAATGCTGCTTTTGCACATGGTCACTCTCACCCCCTCCCCTCTCTATCTCTCTCTCTCTCCAGCTGAGTTCAGTATCTGGACGAGGGAGGCGGGGGCCGGCGGTCTCTCCATCGCTGTTGAGGGTCCCAGCAGGGCGGAGATCTCCTTCGACGACCGCAAAGACGGGTCCTGCGGAGTCTCCTACGTGGCTCAGGACCCCGGTACAGAAACATTCAAACAGTGTAGTCTGATGATTGTTCACTGATGCATTTATATTCTTATCAACTTTTGTTGGTACTAAGTGTTTCTGTTTTCGGTTTGAGAAGCGATTTGGATTACATTTTGATTGATTAATTTGTTTGATCGCGTCTCCCCCCCTCCTCTGCAGGTGATTATGAGATTTCGGTGAAGTTTAACGAGCAGCACATCCCTGACAGCCCGTTCCTGGTTCATGTGGTCGCTCCGGCCAACGACGCCCGCCGCCTCAGTGTTACCGGCCTTCAGGTGAGGCACGAGGAGACACCCCCACACCCTCTGAGGCTCAGTTGCATAAAAGTGTGATATCATGAGCACAACAATAAATCATGGGCGAAGATAGATATTAAGATTTTGAGTTAAAACACACACAGCTGGCTGATTTCATTCCACTTATTTTTTTAAATAAAGTTTCCTTGTATTTATTTTTTGGAGTGATGTATTGTGAGTAATAGTAGCAAGTCTCATCCTCGAAGTTAAACAAACTCTCTGATTTAGCCCCCCACTATAATTGAGTTTCTCATTAAAGAATTAAAGCCATTTCAGTGGAACCTTTGTGTTGCTCAGATAGTCAGATAACGTTTTTTGTTTCTTTCTTTATGCAACTGGCCTCATGGATGTGACCGCAGCCAGGCAAACGCACCGCTTCTGTGTGAAGTTGACACCTCAATCTGAGAGGCACTAAAGGAAACCTTTGGGGATTTTTGGACACATTTTTAAGAATGAACTAAAGCTCTAACTTTAAGTTTCATTTTATTTTCCGCTAATTGATTATTTCGTTTATAATGTCAGATATCAGTGAAAAATATCCCAAATGATGTCTGCAATTGTCAGAAAAACTAAATATGATCAGTTTACATTCATGTTAAATTGAATCCTCACATTTGAAGCACATGAACCAAAGAGTGACTGTTGATAACTGACCAGTTATTGGATGTATTGACATTATTCAGTGTGTCAGTGAACTGATAAATACATGTTCTGACTCTACAAGGTCATCATTACATCATGAAATCAACAGATGTTCTTAACATATATTAAACACACTCACCTGATGAGATTACATTATCACGAAAAAGGATTCCTCTTGTATTTTTACAATAAACTTTTCGTGACATTTAGTATTGACAATGGTCTAGAAGAAAAGGTCAGGAGGTGACTAATAATAACATATTAGACACTTTAGATTTACAGGTTAAAATGATTCTATATAACAAGAAAAGGTGTCTCCAATATTCATTTAAAACATTTGGTCAGCTGATCTGTCCTCTCAGCTGATCTGTCCTCTGAGCGTTTTGCCTGGCTCTGGTCATCCCTCTTCTGTCTGGTGTGGAACTGCTGGTGTTTCTCTTGTGTTTCATTTAAAGGCTCTTAACAGCACCTTCATCATCTTCATCATCCGCTCTGGATGCTGAGCAATGGCAGACGGAGGCGGGCCACTCAGAACACCTGCCGAACTGTTGTGTTACGTCACTATGACCAGGAAGAGCAAAATAAAAATGTCCAACGAGGCGTTCTGAGGCAGCATAGACAGGTCTTTTCTGTGTTAGAGTTGTACTCCCTACAGGGTGTAGTTTGAGGGGTTTTGACTCTGCAGACCGTTTCCATGCCGTAAAACCTTCATAACACACAAGGGGACGGGTAATAACCGGAAAAGCATGACATGGGACCTTTAAGTACCAAATGTAAAGAGCCGGCAATGTCATTATCATCAAAACATGGTTCAACTAAAACTACTCACTAAATCTGAGATGGCTTACAGCATTTAACAGACTGTACTATAACACTGTACGACTGTAGATTTAACTCTTCAGATGCGTTTTAACCCTGTCGCTGCCTCTGTCTGCTGCAGCTGCACCACCTGGAGCTCAGGTAAGAGTGGAAGAACATATAGTTCAGAGAAAAGATAGAACCAGAGCCGAGACAACAGTATCTGGTTTGTAGTATTCCTCCACTCTTTTATACAGTGTCTGTGTTTTGGAGTGTTGGGTTTTTTCTTCCTTGATGTTTCTCTTTCTGGCCCTGTACCCTGACTGTGTGTGTGACCTCGGTAGGAGTCTGGTCTGAAGGTGAATCACCCAGCATCCTTTGCGGTGCGTCTGAACGGAGCGCAGGGCAAGATGGAGGCCAAAGTCCACAGTCCCTCCGGAGCTCTGGAGGAGTGTGTGGTGACCGAGCTGGAAAAAGGTGTGTGTGTGTATGTGAGCTTTAAGTGGGTTTTTTTATTGCATCTGTGGTGAAAGAAAAATCCTGTTCTGCAATGCGTTGAATAATTATCAGTATAGTTTGGTCTATAGCTGCTTTTAGAAGATATTTCTAGAACAAATGTTCAAGTAAAAATACTTCCTGTTAGGACTGGGAAATAACTATAATATATTACCCACTTTATTTATTCCACATTACTTGTTATTATTCATCAAAATTCTTATTGTGTAAATATTTTTCAAAGCATCAAGGGTCAACCCAACAATATTGATTGAGTTATTTGCTCGAAAATATCTTAATTTTAGATTTTCTTCATATCGCCATATGTCAACTTAAATCATAATCAGATGTATTGATTTGGGTTTTTTCGTTTTTTATTAAAATAAATAAAACACTAAAGCTACTAAAATAAAAAATAATAATACATTTTACAGGAATAATAATCAGATAATAAGAATGACACATTTTCTCTTAAAAATAAAATATGTGAAGTATATCAGGATTAAAAAGTGGAAGCGCTGTGCAGTTTGTTCTAAAAGAAGCCAGAACTTTGAGTTCTAATAACTAAGTCCTCTGTCCTCCAGACAAGTACGCTATCCGGTTCATCCCGAGAGAGAACGGAATCCACACCATCGACGTGAAGTTCAACGGCTCTCACATCCCGGGAAGTCCTTTCCAGGTCCGGGTCGGAGAGCCGGGACAGACCGGAGAGCCCGGCCTGGTGTCGGCATACGGATCGGGGCTGGAGAGAGGAACCACAGGTGGGAGAGCTGTTGTTATTATTTCATATTATTTCATATCAGAATAAATATATATTTTTAAAGGCCATATTATACATTTTAGGCTTCAGATACGCTCTTAAGTAACATTTAAGCACTTTTAAAGCACTTTGAACATTTCCAGACTCTCCAAGGCTTTATCATCTAATCTAAATGTATATTGTAAATGGGAAATAAAAAATGACAGATTTATAATGTGCCCACAGCAATAAACTTTTTTACTTTGTTTATTTCACAAGCCTTTGGTTTTAAATATTACTTTTATGTTGTGGCTTCCAACACATTGTATGAAGCATTACATGCATTTTTCCATAGGGCGACAAATCTGTGAGAATAACTTCTTGCATTTTAACAAAGCGTTATTGTTTGTTTTAAATCATGCAGGTAGCCAGTCAGAGTTCATCATTAACAACACTAAGGCGGGGCCCGGGGCCCTTGCAGTGACCATCGAGGGGCCATCTAAAGTGAAGATGGACTGTAAGGAGGTTCCTGAGGGCTACAAGGTGCACTACACCCCCATGGCTCCTGGAAACTACCTGATCAGCATCAAGTACGGAGGACCCAACCACATCACCGGCAGCCCCTTCAAAGCCAAGGTCACAGGTCAGTGAACGTCCTTGCACTCATCCACTTTAACCTTGCGATGCAAAACATTATATATGCATCTGTAATCAATAGGTCTGTTGAGTCTTTTGCATTATTCTTTCGGTGGAAAAATACAATCTGAAAATGTAAGTGTACATTAATGCTTTATTTTCTGTACAGCAATTACTCATTTGTGTCTCGAAACATCATGTGATTTTTTTGTAATTGCCTTTTTGAGCACTACCTCAAGAAAAAAGTCATATTGTCATGTCATATTTAATCTAAAGTTATATACATTATTTTTCATCTAAATAGTTTTGTTTTTTAAAGTGAGAAATACGCTCGCTTGAATATATTCCTTGAAATTCTTGATTTACAATATAATCTTATATTTACAAAGTGTTTTGGTCCTTTTTTTATTATTAAAAATTGTGTTCTATACTGAAACGGTATTGTTTCCATCTTATTATATTTTTAAAGATATTTTATCGAAATTGGCACAAGCTAGCTGACTCATTTTATGGAAAGTCCTGGTTTTCTCGAGCAACTTATGACTTTTTTTTCGGTAAAAAAACGTTTTTAAAAACGATCTTACCTGATTTGTCTGTCTCTCTTAGGCGCTCGGCTGGTGAATGTGACCAACGCCAGCGAGACGTCCACCCTGACGGTGGATCCAGTGGTCAGGTCCAGCAGCAGTTTCTCCCAGAGTGCTTTGCCCCGGCTCACAGACTCTGATGCCAGCAAGGTGTCGAGCCGCGGCCCCGGCCTCAGCAAGGCCTTCGTGGGCCAGAGGAGCAACTTCTCTGTCGACTGCAGCAAGGCCGGTAAGTACGGCTCATGATCGATGGATTTTTTCTTTAGCTTTAGTGGTATCGCACTTTTCATACAGAGGATGCATCTTAAGAGTGCTTTGAGAGTTTGGTGCAAAACACAACACAATCAGTTGAAGTCAGAGGATAAAATATGTTAGCACACATGCAGCGTGAGTACATGATACATACAGTACATGATTCCAGGGAATACAAGAAGGTCAAATAAATGAGAATACTTTATTTATGAGTTTGAAAACAGTTGCTCCTTTTTAGAATAAAATGAAATGTAAATATAATACCATAGAATACAAATAGGTATGTTAACATAGAAAGCTAAAGTCAAAATGTGAAGTACAAAATATATATAAAAAAACATTGTTGTACACAAAATAAGTTAAAGTAACAATTTGCAATAAAAAATAAATAACACACCAATCCAAGGTAGTTATTGCTAATTAAAGCTAAGTTGAACGAAAACACGTTTACCAACATTGATTGACGTGTAAACTTCCGCCCCTCTTCCTCCAGGTAAGAACATGCTCCTGGTGGGGGTGCTCGGCCCCCTGGTCCCCTGTGAGGAGGTTCTGGTCAAACACCTGGGCAACCTGCAGTACAACGTGAGCTACATGCTGAAGGAGCGGGGGTGCTACATCCTGGTGGTGAAGTGGGGCGACGACCACATCCCAGGCTCCCCCTTCCAAGTCAACGTCCCCTGAGGCAACCAATAAAAACACACCGTCACTCCTCCTGAACCATTTTGCATCCCTGTTTGAGTGGAAACACTCTACTGCAGATAATCATCCAATAAACAACTTGCTTTACAAAGTTAAAGAGGTGCACTTTGCCTTCAGATGTGTTCATTTCAAATCACAAGTATAAAGGATCTGACACAATTGATTTACTTGCTAAAAACTGAACTTGATAAAGGAGAGGAAAGCGTTAAAAAACACTTTAGTTTAGTTTTAAACTAAAAATGTTAAGGAAGAGAAGTGAACACATCCATAAATGTAAGTTGGACCATTTTTCTGCAGTGAATCAGGGAAGCAAAATGGTAAAAGAAACTATAATCTGACCTAAAACTGGAGTCAAAATGATCTGATTTGGAAAGATAACTATCATCTGTTGATTTTTGCTGACCTGAAATTGACAAATTGTGAACTTGACGATAGTTTTTATACGTGATTGGTAAACTAAGACGGCTTGACATTAGTTGGTGAGAACACAAAATCTGCATGTTTCCAAAGTGTTAAAACTAGATTTGGGCTCAGAAAAGTTGAGTCAAACTTGGACAAGACGACTGGAATTACACAGCAATTGCCTCAGTTTAGTACCAGGAGCGGCACTAAGTACGGCAAAGTACTTGGTTTGAACGCGGCTAATAGAGACAGACTGTATATTTAACCTGGACTTCTGAATCCTATCATGTTCTCTGACCAGTCAGTTGCCTTTTCAACAAAATTATGTGCTGTGGATTTAAAAAATGATTTAACATCTCAATTTTAAGAACTGGAATTATGTTTCTTTAAAGCACTCGAGGCGACAGGAAGCGTCAAACTGTACACGACTACTGATGTTTATTATTGATTTATTAGCTCCCACAATCCCTAAAGTACATAATGTTGCCACTACTACTTTATTATGTGCTTCATCTGTGGGTTCATCTCTTTGCTGTATTTTTCACATGAAAAGATCTGACTGTTCCTCGGATCTGACCAGTGTTTCTGTGTTCGATTGTACTGCAAAGTCAATCGGTGCATAAATTGCAAAAATATTACTCTACAATCAGATCTGAGCTGTCTTTATGTCTCCGATGTTGTTGCCTAATCATTGATACTTTTGATACTTAAGGGATGAGAGAATTTTTGTATTGTGGGAAAAAATGACTTCTTGTTTTTTTATTATTAGGGATTGGGTGTTTAATGTGAAACTAAACCCTGAGATGATGTATATTTTGATCATTAAAATCAGCTGGAGCTAAGGAGGTTGTCTTCTATCTTTAATTTCCTGGCTTTTTTAACATCCTTTATAAATATAATTCTACTTTAACTTAATAAAATAATATAATTAACAATGCATGTCTTTCTTAAAACATAATAACTGATCAGGGGACAGATGTATACAGGAAAAGATGTGAACACCATTTCTCATGCATTCTTAATCATATTTTCTTGTCACAATATGCTGTGTTCAGGTCGATAACATCTTATAAAACTCATGTTGTTGACTTAAAATGTAGTGTCTTATAATGTCTTATAAATTATATTATAGTATGCCATTGAAATTTCCTTTTAAAATTCATAGTACAGTATCACACAAATATTTTAAATAAATAAAAACATAGTCTAGTATGCTTTAAATAGTCATAAATACTAATTCTAATTCAGCATGACTAAACTAACAAAAATATCTGAACATAATATCCCCAAAAATCCTATGTATATAATAGTATTTATGTTAAGAATGTAATAAATATGCAATACATGATATAAATAGATACTATTTATAGTATGTCTTTACAAATGTATAATATAGTATAGTATGCCATACATCATTGAACGTTGACCTTAATTAAATGTATTATGTCAACAAATTACACATGACTGTATTAGGTTAGTTGAAAGCAATAATATTAAGTAAAAGAAAAGGTTAAATTTAACATCATTGCTTTAAACAAACTTAATAAAATGATTTGTAATTTGTTGACATAACACATTTATTTAAAGTCAACATTTCAGTTGTTTCTGTGTATGCGATAAAAAGGCATCATTTGAAAAAATGCAATGAAACAATCATAGTATAGTATTTCATACAAATAAAAGAAAGTGTCTTAGGCTATAGTATGAAAAAAAACATTATTTATAAAAATCTAACATAATATCCCATCATTACATTACATTACATTGCATTGCATTTAGCTGACGCTTTTATCCAAAGCGACTTACAATAAGTGCATTCGACCAAGAAGATACAAACTTGAAGAAAACAGAATCAAGTAAGTACATCAGGTTTCATAGAGCAAAAACATTTCAAATGCTACTCAACTGGCTTATCTTATCTTTAGATAAGCCAGTCCTTTATTAGTATATAAGTGCTTTGTTAGCAATTATTTGTTAGTAATTCTAACGCTCGAAGTGGAGTCGAAAGAGATGAGTTTTCAGTCTGCGCTGGAAGATGTGTAAGCTTTCTGCTGTCCTGATTTCAATGGGGAGCTCATTCCACCATTTTGGAGCCAGGATAGCAAACCCACGTGTTTTTGCTGATGGGAACTTGGGTCCCCCTCGCAGTGCTGGTGCAGCGAGCCGTTTGGCCGATGCAAGGCAAGTTTATTTATATAGCACCTTTCAACACAAGACAATTCAAAGTGCTTTACAAAAAATGAAAGACATTAAGAAAATGGTATTTAAAATCAGTCATTAAAAAGCAAAGATAAAAATAAACATTAAAAGAAAAAATACATGGATAAATGTTACAGTGCAGTTTAAGATGTGAATAGTTCAAGTAAAAGCAGCGGGAAAAATAAAAGTATTTAGCCTAGATTTAAAAGTAGTAAGAGTTGCAGCGGACCTGCAGGTTTCTGGGAGTTTGTTCCAGATATTTGGAGCATAATAACTGAACGCTGCTTTACCATGTTTAGTTCTGACTCTGGGGACAGAAAGCTGACCAGTCCCTGAAGACCTGAGAGATCTGGATGGTTCATAATTTAGCAGGAGGTCACAAATGTATTTTGGGCCTAAACCATTCAGTGTTTTATAAACCAGCGGCAGTATTTTTGAAATCTATTCTTTGACACACAGGAAGCCAGTGTAAAGACTTCAGAACAGGAGTGATGTGATCCACTTTCTTAGTGTTAGTGAGGACTCGAGCAGCAGCGTTCTGAATCAGCTGCAGCTTTCTAATATATTTTTTAGTGAGACCTGTGAAGACACCATTGCAGTAGTCGAGTCTACTGAAGATAAAAGCATGGACAAGTCCTGCTGCGACATTAGTCTTTTAATCCTACTGTAGATATGTTTTTTAGGTGATAGTAGGCTGATTTAGTAACAGTTTTAATGTGACTGTTGAAACTCAGGTCAGAGTCCATGACTACACCTAGATTTCTGGCTTTATCTGTTGTTTTGAACATTGCAGACTGAAGCTCAGCGCTAACTTTTATACGTTCTGACTTGGCTCCAAAAACCATTACCTCAGTTTTATCTTTGTTTAATTGGAGAAAGTTCTGATACATCCAGTCATTGATTTGTTCAATGCACTTACTCAGTGTTTTAATTGGAGCATAGTCTCCTGGTGAAATTGTTACGTAAATTTGTGTGTCATCTGCATAGCTATGGTAACTTATTTTGTTGTTTTTCATTATCTGAGCCAGTGGTAGCATGTAGATGTTAAAGAGAAGAGGCCCCAAGATGGAGCCTTGAGGAACCCCACATGTCATATTTGTCAACTCAGATGTGTATTTACCTATAGAAACAAAGTTGTAATATGCTGTGGTCAACAGTGTCGAACGCAGCACTGAGATCTAATAATACTAACACTGAAGTTCTGCCACTGTCTGTGTTTAAGTGGATGTCATTAAAGACCTTTACAAGAGCAGTCTCAGTGCTGTGGTTTGGACGAAAGCCTGACTGGAACACATCAAAACAGTTATTTAAATGCAAGAAATTACTCAACTGTTGAAAAACTACTTTTTCAATGATTTTACCTAGAAATGGCAGGTTTGATATGGGCCTGTAATTGTTCATTACTGAAGCATCTAGATTATTATTTTTTAAGAGCGGGTTTAATGACTGCAGTTTTCAGGGCCTGTGGAAAAATACCTGAGTGAAGAGATTTGTTTACTATATGAAGTAGATCTGAGGCCATGCAAGGCAAAACATCTTTGACAAATCCTGTTGGAATAATATCAAGGCAGCAGGAGGAGGATTTCAGAAGTTGTATAATGTCCTCTAGGTTTTTATCATTAATCTGATGGAATTGTGTCATGGTGTTTGAATTGATGTTAGGTGGACAACACATTTGCTGTTCCTGATGCAGAGGCACTGACTGCTTGTCTGATTTTCTGAATTTTGTCAGTGAAGAAGGAGGCAAAATCATTGCACGCCCTGGTGGATAGAAATTCAGAGGCTACTGACACTGGGGGGTTAGTTAGTCTGTCGACGGTAGCAAACAAGGCACGTGCGTTGTTTTTGTTTTTGGTAATGATGTCAGAGAAGAACGATTGTCGTGCGTTTTTCAATTCCAAATTATAAAGGCCAAGTCTCTCTTTATAGATTTCAAAGTGAACCTGGAGATTTGTTTTTCGCCACCTGCGTTGAGCTTTTCGACACTCTCTTTTCTGCTCTCATGGTCATGGCCTTTCTCCATGGAGATATTTTCTTGCCAGACACTTCCTTTACCTTAGTTGGAGCAATGGCATCTATAACATTTTTAATTTTTGAATTAAAATGATCTACTAGCTCATTTACTGAGATGTTAGCAGGGGCAAGTGTGGAAGAAAAATTCTGAGTAAACATTTCCCTAGTATTTTCAGTTAAATATCGCTTTGTGGTTACCTCTTTTTGAACATTTTTGTGAACAGAAATAGAGCTCTCAAAGAAAAACACAGGAATGGTCAGAGAGTGCAACATCAGTCACCACAACCTTAGAGATATTCAGACCCTTTGAGATAATTAAGTCCAGAGTGTGCCCCTTATTGTGCGTGGGCTCCGTCACATGCTGAGTCAGTCCATAGCTATCAAGAACACAAAACAGTTCTTTAGCCCCTCTGTCCTGGGGGTTGTCAACATGGATGTTAAAATCACCAACAATGACTAGACGGTCAAAGTCAATACACACTATAGACAGCAGTTCAGTAAAGTCATCAAAAAAGCTTGCACAGTATTTGGGTGGTCTATAGATATTTAGGAACAGAGCTCGAGAGGAGCATTTCAGCTGAAGGGCCACATATTCAAAAGAATCAAAGTTTCCATACGATGTCTTCCTGCATTGAAGAGAATCATTGAACAGAATAGCAACTCCACCCCCTTTCTTATGCTTTCTTTCCTGACTCATAAAACTAAAGTTGGGAGGGGTTGATTCGATAAGAACAGCTGCACTGTTATTTTGTTCAATCCAAGTTTCTGTTAAAAACATAAAATCGAGATTGTGCTCAGTGATTGATTACAAATGTTTTTCCTGCCAAAGACCTGACATTTAATAAAGCTAGTTTAAATTTGTTAAACACACTATCAGTCATGTTTTTTGTAACAAGCTGTGGCTGACATGGAATCACTGCTAAATTAGATAAACTCACACAAACGTTTGAGCGCTTCCTGTTTCTATGATTCACCGCTCTTAATCTATTACCTATCAACACAGATATCGGCAAAGCTACTAGCAGGCAGGGCCCCGACATGTCCTGGAAAGAGTTGAGAGTGCCATACGCCCTTGAGCCTGGACCCATCACATATCAGTAAGAGTTTTTTGTGTTTTGTACACACACATCCTTATCAGGCTTCGGAGACTGCAGATGCTTTCTTGAAGGGAGGGGAGGTGGTTGACGTAGGCACGGTGATGAAGATGGGCGAGATGGTGCGGGGGTAGAGGACATGCTGCCAGGGGGGGAGGTGGTTGACGTAGGCGCGGTGATGAGGACGGGGGAGATGGTGCGCGTCTCTGCAGTGATTTTGGTGGGCGTCGTTGAGGAACGGGGGTAAAGGACATGCTGCCAATCCTGCGTATCGCCTTCGTTTGGTCTTTGAACTCCAGGAAGGAATCGGTGCCAACCCTCTGTATCTCCTTTGTGTGTTCAGCGATCTCCAGGAGGGTGGGCGAGGGTGGGCGAGGGTGAAAGGGTGAACGGAGTATCCTCAAAGGTGTTGACAGAGGGGGGGTGACGGGCAGTGGAGACTCCTCCATGTGTCTCATAGGTCTCCCATAATCAGAACATTCCTCAGGCGGGTGCAGTGATAATTCTTCAGGGTTTTCTGCGTGATGTGTTGTGTCTTTCTCCTGTTTTGATTCCTCTTGCCGCTTGTCCTTGGCAGAGGGAACAGATTGATGACGCAGGCAGTTGAATATGTTAGAGATAAACAATTTCACTCCTGACTTGTTCAGGCAAACTCCATTTGCCTTGAAAAGATGTCTGCGATCCCATAAAAAGTTAAAATTGTCCATAAAATGGACAGAATGGTCAGTACAGGCAGTTGAAAGCCAGGTGTTCAGTGCAAACAATCTGCTGAATCTCTCCACTCCTCTTCTGACTGGCGGTAGAGGGCCACTGATGAACCCCTCTGCATTTAGAGAGCTGGCAGTTTCCAACAAACATTTAAATTCTTCTTTCAGCACTTCTGACTGTTGTTTCACAACATCATTTGTTCCAATGTGCAGTACCACATTCTTCACAGTCGGATGTTCAGCCCCAATATGCAGGATCTTCTCAGCCAAGTCAGAGACCACATCCTTGGGAAAACAGAGTACTTTGGTGTTACACAGACCTTTTACATCTCTTACAGCAGAGTCACCCACAATCAGAGTTTCAGGCCCAGTCGTTAGCTTTCCCTCTAGCCTTTTACTTTTGGAGTAGCTATTGGTCCTTACCCTGCTGTGTGAAGAGGACAGGTTATCCAGGTCATCAGATCTCCGGTTCTCGGTCAGCAGAGCGTATCTGTTCTGGATTGGCACACTTGGTGGTTTAGGAGGATTGTTTGTAGTTCTCCCTTTAGCAGCTGTCCACTGCTGTTTCCTAGTATGAATAGGGGTTGAAGAGGCGCTCTTCCTGGGTGATAACAATGCAGGCCAGCCGGTCGCATCACAGATTTCGGAGCTCTGGGCTCTGCCTGTTATCCGTCCTCCCAAATCCCATGGAAATGATTTACTCTTAGGCTTTGCACCCAGAGAGTTCCAGGGAGGACTACCACTTGTAGATTTATTACCCAGTACACAGCCCTCCTGTTCCTTGGAATCCTTGTAGCTGCTAACTAGCTGTGAGTTAGCATACCCTTCTCCATTATTTTGCAACACTGGTAAAGTGGTGTCATTCCCACGACATAGTCCATTCACTTCCACGTTAACTTCCAACCGTTGCATTTTCATTTCCAACACAGCTATCTTCTGTATAAGTTTCTGGAAGTCATCTGTAGAGAACGGAGGCATTTTGCTACCAACTAGCTAAATAGCATGCAGCCTACCAGGCTTTAGCTGTTGCTAGGCCACGCTACTGTAAGACTGAGGTCGTCGTAAAAATGTTGAAATATGGCTGAAACCCTCCGTCTATTTACGAAGATGAACTGTCCCAGTGATAAGTTAATGTCCAGGAGCCGCTGCTCGAAGTTTTCAGAGAATAAGAATAGGAAAATCAGCATAAAAAGTAAGCAGAGGCAAGAGCAAGCAGAAAAGCATCTGCACTGTAAGAAAGATAAGCCAGTGAGGCGAGACATCCTTCTCCTCCAGCTTCTCTTTATATATACACGGCTGAGTGGAATTTGGAACACCTGGGCAGAGGCGGAGCCAGGGGCAGACCAGGTGCACCTGCGCAGCAGGGGGACAGAAAAGAAAACAAGGAGGGGAGCACATGTCTACACAGACATCCACTCGAAGTCAACAATTTTCTGAAGAATGTGCTGACATGGGGGTTTAAATTGCCATGCCTCTTTTTGGCTTTCGAGCCCGTCTCAGGATTAATGCCCAGGAAGCACCTGAAAACAATAAGCCAAGACAACAATTTCAATTTTACATAGATTTATATGTTGCATAGTTTATTTTAAGGCACATGCAGCGGTGCCCCTTTCAATTTAAGTAAAACCTGCACCAAAGAAATAAATCAGTATTTAAAGCCAAGCAAGAGCGATAAAAGCAAGAAAATCACTTAATGTGTTGTGTTATCACAGAGGATGGTCTGAATACAGTATTGTACTGTGAAATAATACAGTAACATGTTGGGAAATCCTGGTAATCATTGATCCTGTACATTCACAGTAATTAACTGTGCCTGCATTGATTACAAATTACAGTATTATATTTTGAACATCACAGGTAAAGACTGTAAAGTGGTGAAACTGTAATTTATCATAAAATATTACAGTTAAATATTGTGAAATCATGGTAATATTTTACAGTGTGGGTCTGGGTGTATTGGAGAAGGAATACGCTGTGGAGAGAGCTGCAGGGGTGGATGTGTTGGATGGAGTAATCCAGGTCTCAGTGAGGGCAAGGAAATCCAGAGACTGCAGGGAAGCGTAGCCAGAGATGAAGGCCCATTCCCAAACCGCCCCCTACACCTTACCCCTACACCCTACCCCTCCGTTTGCGCGTTCACGCGGAGGGTCCGCCATATTGAGGGCTGTTCCAAAGCAACGAGTGTGGAGGGGGAGTGGGCTATCAAGCCCTCAAACAGCGAGTCTGCAGCGGTGCTGACTTGAGACCGGTCTCTACCTGACCGGAGTCACGCTGTGTGTGTCCGTCAGGAAACACGCTGTTTACAAGTAGCCTAGTTCCAGCAAACATCCACTGATAAATTGCGATGTTAACAACCTCATGATAACCTCATATGTTTTTAACTTAGGATCACCTGTGTTTAGTCTAGAAAAAGGTAAATGTGTGCATTTTATTATAAAGTTGTGTATATTTACAGACCGTTGCAAAAACTAAGAAGCTTATAAACATCAGGTTTAAAACTAAAAGAGCTTTGAAACACAATGAAAGATGTTTGGAGTTTTATTTGAGTTATTCATTTAAACTTTTTGTCTAAGAGATGCTGATTTGAAACCGTTGTTACATACAGTTACGGCATTTCCTGTTTCTGCCGGAGAGAGGGGAGGCCGTCCCAAAGCTTGCTGCTGTATTTACTCCCTCCGTCTGACAGGAGGGAGCCTCGTTGAGCTGCGAGTGTGGCTACAGACGGAGTTCACTCTATCACGGAGGGGTAGGGTCGAGGGAGTGGTTTGGGATTGGGCCGAAGTCAGCCTTAGGAACAGCTGACTGGCAGTTCCACAGGCCACCTGTAACTAGCTTTTGGGTCGCAGTAGAACATGTGGGATAGACGAGAGCAGGCCGGTTATAGCGATTAGGAGATACACAGGGCCAGTGATAAACATAGCACTAGTAGTATGCCCTATATTTACTTGCACTTTACACAACACCATTCAAAAAATGACCTTATGATCTTCTCATCATCACACTTAGTCTACTTTATACAATTTATTTCAATATTAATCAATATTTCCCCACCACACCTCTCTCCTCCACCAGGCGCCAGCCCTTCAGACCAGCAGAGGGTTTGCGCATGGTCAGTCTCACCCCTCATCACGCCCCCCTCCCTCACCTCCCCCACGCCCCCTCTCTCTGCACCCTCCTCACATATGATCCAGCAGCAGCCATCCATCTCTCTGGATGCTCTGCCCCGCACTCGGCCGTCTTGATTCCCGCCTGGTCGCGGCATCAGCACCAGGTAAGAGCCCGCGCTTTCATCCCGATCACTTCTCGCAAAAACCTCGGATCGATGCCCATCCAGGTGATCGATGCTACCCGCGATGTTTATTCTGTTTTTGGTCGGGTGGGAAGCGGGATGGATGCTGCCTGGATACCGAATCCATCCCCGGTGTTTCCCTCTGGAGAGAAATCGACACTTGTGTTTTCTCGGATGCGTTATTTTCCTTTAGAATAAGATCCCCCTTTGACTCTCCCTCCGCTCTCAGTCCGTGTTATCTGCCGTCAGATCCGGATAATGAATAACGTGTCAGTCGGTGTGGTGCTTATCTTCCCTGGATGATATTATCGCTCTTACACACACACACACGCGCTCATAGATGGAGTGTATTGGTCCAGGTTTTTGGCTGTTTGGCGCATCACAAGGTCACGGTGCTGCTGGTGACCGGACACCTTGCCACGGGCATCTGGCTCTCCTCTGCGGGCCACGGGGCTTGATGTGCGGTGTGGTAACTGTCAGTGGGCTACTTTAGCCTGGAGCTCCCTGGGGATTAACCGGCTGTTTAAACACAAACAATTTGATGAACAATACTCAAAAATGACATATTGTTGGTGAAATGACACCCCATGATATGGTAAAGGCTATATGTATCGGAGTAATATAGTATTGTAGCTATCATGGTGGTTTTGATATTCTGACAGTCTCATGGTTACAGTAAAACCGGTGTGAGGGTTTGAACATGGGCAGGTTCACACCCAGAGCTCAGAGGTGTTACTGTAGCATGCACACACTCACAGTTTATTCTCTGGGAAATAATAAAGAAAAAAGACAAAAAAATCAAATTCATCAAATGTGTTTATCATTTATTAGAATATAATATAAATTACACTGTAATATTAACATCATTCTTTCATACTAATATTATTAGTGACTCATTGATTAATGCCACACCATTCAGCTGCTAAGACACAACAACATTGAAAATCATTGTTTATTATAAACCTACCTTGCTATATGTTAATTATTTCTATTTTGTGGTCAATTATGATACTATACCCATTATATACTCTACATGTTATAATCTATTGAATTTGATGTTCTATTGCTTTGCTATATTATTTGTGTTATACTGCATGTTACTGCATTTCTTATCTAATTACACACTTTATAATAATGTATCATTCTACTATATTATGATCAGATCACAGATCTTGCATTATTTATCCTTTACATTGCTTTTGAATTGTTAGATTTGTCTTTTTTTAATAATTATAATTTTTTGGACTTTTACAAAAGTGTCGTGTGGACTAAAAAGAAAAGATTCCACTGTTAACTATTGTATAATGTAGTACTTGATTAAGTCATTAATACTTCTAACAATCATTTTAAGAAATGAAGAATAATAATAAATGCAATAACAAATGTATATTTTGATTGATTGATATATTCCTTTATCACATTTTATATACAAAATACAGCTGAAAGGCTGAATAGCATCACTGTATTTTCACTTTACATAAAGTGAAAGGCTGCACGTCACTAATGTGTGGATTTAAGCCCCTGTATATGAATATTTAAAGTATGACACCATTAATATGACCTCAAATAACTCTAATGCCTATAGCAACTTACCAACAAGACCTTCATTGATCACACATGTCCCTAAAATAATTGTATTTCTTCATCATTACATCATTATTTTGTGTTTATTCAGTGAGGATAGTGCACAGTGGAGGGATGGTGAAGACATGAGCACATCCAACAGATTTCGATGGAGTCCTCTTTCAACGGTGTAGAGCTCCGGGAGCTGCGGGGGGGAGGAGGTGGTGGAGGGGGGCAGAGCGTGTCTCCAGCGCCGGCCGCAGTAAGGGGGGGCTTCAGGGGCTTCGAGAACGCCTCCTACCTGCAGGACGATGAGAATGAGGACCGCCAACAGAGGGCGACTGTCCTGGAGGGGTGTCCGCCCTCAACTTCAGGCAACAGCAAGGTAACATTAGGCTTTTTATACAGGGTTGTTATAAATATCTTTAATTTGCACAAATCATAAAACATCTGACTTTGGTGCTAAATGACGCTTTTGTTTAGATTACATTTCTCTGAAGGGCCCTATTATGCTTTTTGTGGCTTCCCCCCCCCCCCTGCCTGAAAACACCTCCATTGGATTCCTTTGTTTACTTCCTTAACATAGCGACATCACTGTGTAACACTTGCTCTTCTATTGGCTAGGCTACAAAATATTGTACGTGATAGGCTAAGGGGCAGTAAGAGAAAAATAAGAGCTTTTTGACATTAAAGCAAAGAAAGGACAGAACAGGAGCGAATGTTGAGTTTTGTTCATGCCTGACCATGTCCTAAATCGAGAGTAGGGAAAACTGAAGGGGCTAGCATAGTAGCTAACGTAAGCAGCTAACTGACAACCTCAAAATAACCGGGTCTAAATAAAAATTGGACAAGAGGCAAGCTACAATTTACGGGTTCAAACCTTTTTTTCCACTCATCCAACTCAATTGCCAAAATCAAAGCTGCAAACAGTCGCTCTCAGGTTTTGGACTTCACAAAGCTATGCAAAAAAGTGACTTAATTCAACATTTTATAATATTATGGCGCCCCCATCAGGGAAATTGAAGTAATATTTGACATATTTTAGGCATCATCTTATATTTTCAATGTCTTCATCAAAATATGGTTTATTCTTGGTCATACCCTCCTCTTGTTTGCCTTCTTTACTTTGTGTCTGTCTTTTCCTCTCCCAGGTGGAGCAGCAGCATCAGGAGCTCTCCCCGAGGTCGTACGATGACGAGGAAGGAGCTGGAGGTCAGGAGGACGGCCAGGACTTCACCGAGTTCCACCCCCCCGACGACAACACCGCGGACTACGGCTTCATCTTCGCCCTGGTGTTCCTGGTGAGCGGCATCGTGCTGGTGGTCATCGCCTACACCATCCCCCGAGAGGCCAAGGTCGACCCGGACTCCGTGTCTGCCCGCCAGATGGAGAAGCTGGAGATGTACTACGCCCAGCTGGGCTCCCACCTGGACAAGTGCATCATCGCGGGCCTGGGCCTGCTGACTCTGGGGGGGATGTTCCTCTCCGTGCTGCTCATGGTGTCCATCTGCCGGGGCGAGATGTACCGACGCAGGGCGGCGTTTATTCGCCCCAAGAGGACTTACGGCTCCATCAACCTGAGAATGAAGCAGCTGGCCACTGGGGAGGCAGTAGGAGGCGGCGAGGGCGTGGGCGTGGACGGAGGTGAGGAGTTTTTGGTGGAACACGCAGAGACGCGGAGTAACACCCAGCCAGGTCCGAGCCGGGACGCCAAATCAGAACCAGGACCAAGCAATCCTCCTCCTGCTGCTTCATCCTCTTCTTCTTCACATGGAGCGAATTAGCATAATTTTCACTGTGCAACCTGCCTTCCTCTGAGTCAGTTGCAACACGGGGATGCAAAATGGTGCAGCTCCCCCCATTTGTGCAGACAGGGGAATCCCATGTTAAGCACAAGGCTCTCTGCAGGAGCGACCCAGCTTTAACCCAGCGTTTTGGGATGAACAAGGGTCTGGGATATTTATTCTAACCAATCATAAAGGATGTTTGATCTAACAAAAGAGGGCTCGACCCGGTAAGAGAAAAGAGGTAAGCCTATATGTTCGTGTGGAACAGAGCACATTTGGAGGTGAATGGCTGTATATGAAAAAAGCTCCAATATAAATCCTAATATATTAATCAGAGTTTTACAGTAAAAGCACATGTGTTGATTGGTTGCAACTGCAGAAACAAAGATTTTATAAAGGTCAGTATTGATCCTCATCCATCAGGTAACCTAAATACGATCAACATTTAAACCTAGCCTTGTTTTCAACCTCAATAACAATGAATAATATCAGACTTGCTGCTGTGATCATTGGAAATCCACCAGACTTGACAGTGAATTGATAGAAAATGTTAGTACTGTACTAAGATAAGAAAGCTTAATGGAGAGTTGGATGCTAGCTCTGGCACAAATAAACACAGGCAACATTTCTGACATGATGTGAGACAATTACGCTCATCAACAACATCAGCAACACATCGACAATAAAGGAGATTAAATAATATCAAAAGTATGTCTAGGTTTACTATCAGCAAACAAATAAAAACAAAACAGTGTTATTAAAACCTGCATTAAATAACATACTTGAGTGCCTACAATTACAATAAACCATTTCACTTATTGCCAAGAGTTTTGGAAAATATCTTAACAGTCACAAAAAGTTGTAAAAACTTGCTACTAAAGCGCCATAAGATCTTTATGCACCCTTTGGTCGAGACTTATTGAACCAAAATGATTATTAGTTGCTTGTTTCTTCTCTGAATGCAATGCTTTTTTCACCAAAAATAAGAAAATGCATTCAAATGCAGAGCTGGAGTAGGCGTAAGACGGACATCTGATATGAGTCACTGTGGAGAGGGTGACACGTATTACCCAGAAAGCATTGCATCAGCAGCCCTGAGCTCTTCATACCTGATTTGTTAGTCACCCATCATCTTTGTCCTCCACCTGAAGGTTCTTATATGAAAACCTTTGTGTTTTTACCTCCCAAACAACAACATGAGGGATGAAAAGGAAATTGTCACTGTTGCAAATAGATGTTTTTATGACAGTGGGAAAAAAGTGAAATGTGCATCACAAGAATCAGGTCATGTTTGGTTGAGATTGAAGGCAGATAGCTGAAAAAGTGACATAACTAGAAAAGAGAAATTAAAGGTGTGAATATCAAAAATAATGCTGAATGTTTTAGATTGAACATTTGGTGAATCTGAAATAACCACAAAATAAAGCCAAGTCTCCAAACTATCATGTCACATATCCAATTTCTACTACATCACTGAAAAACTGCTGCCTCGTGTTTATTAATCAGCATTTTCTGCTAGCATCACTTTTTCAACAGCCTCTTTGTATCATGTTGCAAGTAAATATCAACTATAAGCAGATCCTCATATTAGTCATTCTATGTATCTGGCATTTGAAGCTCCTGAGTATTTAGTGGACAATAAAACAAGCTACCGTGCTACAAGCTATTCACTGCTGTAAAAAGAAAACCTCACGATTCCAGATAATAACTTTTAAGAATACAGAAAATAAAAAAACTTTAAGCTAATTAAAACATTTTTAAAACACTAAACATTAAGAAGCTTTTTTTTTTCTATTTGACTGCAGCTCTTATCGCGGAGAAGAAGCTGGTTTTGACTGGAATGAACCTTTAATGACACAGCGTCTACTTATGTGTATGATATGTAAACAGATGTTATTTATGTCATGTAAGGATACAATATGCCTTAATGAGTAAACACTGACACTGTAAATTGTGTATACGCAAATATTATTATGCTAATGTTTAAGGTCTGCATAGTGAGCCAATTAGCCAAGGGTAATGTAGCCACACACACACACACACACACACACACACACACACACACACACACCACACACACACACACACACACACACACACACACACACACACACCACACACACACACACACACACACACACACACACACACACACACAACACACACACACACACACACACAAACCACATCAGACACACACACACACACAACCAACACACACGCACACACACAACCACACAAACACACACACAGACACACACACACACTAACACACACACACAACCACACACACACACACCCACACACACAAACCACACACACAGACACACACACACAACCACATACACACACACACAACCACACACACACAACCACACACACACACACACACACAACCACACACACACACACAACCACACACACACACACACACACACACACAAACACACACACAACCACACACACACACACACACACAACCACACACACTCACACACACACACACACACACACACACCACACACACACACACACACACACACAACCACACATACACACAACACACACATCAACCACACACACTCACACACACACACACACACACACACAAACACACACACACACACACACACACACACACACACAACACCACACAAACACACACACTTACACGTAATATGTCCTAATACGTTTTAACTTGTGAGAACATCTTGATTCTGACTTTATATCCGTAAACACTGACATACTAATCTCAAGTTGTTTATTATAATATGTACAATATTTGTATTTCGTATTCAAATATACTGTAAATACTTCATGTGAACATGTGGGATGTAGAGGACCAGCTAAAGCTCAACGCTCAGAAACCAAATCCACAATGCAGGTGTGCAAAACATCTGCAGCAGCAACTAACCAGCAGCTGGATCAGAACAAACAAAAGTCAACTGTGAAACCGAGCCAAAGTGGGCCTAAATATGAAACATTCAGAGTACTTACATGACAAACAACTCATAGGTTAACAAATATAATTCAATGGTTTAAACATTTTAGGGTTGTTAATGGTTTTTTTAATTGTAGAATAAATGTTTAATCTATAAAATGGCAGAAAAGGTTAATGTAATAAATAAAGCTTCCTGTTTTTACCCAAAAACGAAAAACCCGCAAATATCGATGTTAATGTGACTGGAACGGTTGGAACCAGTGCATTTTTAATTTTGTTCTTATCAAAAGAGAGGTTAACACGTCTATTTTCAAAAATAATGGCCAATATCTGACGATTGACTAAACTATTTAAGAAGATCAAGTCCTATTTATAAATGTTATTATGATTGAAAAGAAAGAATACCAAGCTCACTTTAAATGTTCTGCAGGAATGAAAGAATAATACTTCACCAGGACTTGATTTCCTGACAAGTGTCTCCTAAAGCATTTAGCGAACATAACAACATTTATGAAATTGGTCAGCACTGTTCTAAAATCCCTTGATGATTTGAAAGACTGACGTGTTTGGAGACAGGTTTGGTCCCTGCTACAGTCATCTCCTGCCGAGGTGTCCTTGAGTAAGATCTGTGTGGCTGCTTCTGGGGAACAGGGTCATTTATTTGGAGCGGCTTTCTTGCTTAATCTTCAAATGAACAACATCGCACTGTTTTGAACTTCACTTTAACACTTCCTGCTGCAGGCAGGAAGCTTGGTAGAGGGGATGATTCAGACTGTCTGCCTCAAGACAAAAAAAGAAAAGTCTAATCTGCATGTTGTAATAAAGCTCCATAATAAGAGCGTAAGGCGATAGTTGCCAGTTTTATATTAAAAAATAACATCAATAATAATGATGATGATGTACATTGCAATATGAAAAAACAAGACACCACCCCTCAACTGACGTTCATTTTTACAAACAAATCTTTTTGTCCTGTCTCACGTTCATTTTCGAGGTTTGATCGCAGACAGAGCCTGCATAGTTTTGTTAAAAGGTTAAGAATGATTGTGATTGGTGGTTGACTGTATATGTAGAGCCAGCATATAACTCACTAGCAACACACACTTAAATCAGAGTCAATTTGTCATAGAAAGTTAATTTGACATGGCCTGCGGTGTGCTGACACAATAAATTGTATAACATACTGTATATAAGGTTCAATGTCAAATGAGTGTTACTGTTTCTATGTGCACAACACCACTATACAAGCATAAGTCAAAAGTAGGCTACAATGATTTCCCCGTTTCAGGGATTACAGTGTATTTCAGGGACTGGTTTGTTGAGAAGTAAGCAGATGCAGGAGAAGTATCTGTGTGAGATCGGAGATAAGAAGATGTGTGAGAGCTGATAGGAAGCAGCGGAGAGCCGGATGACGTGAGGTGATTCTTGAAGAGATTTGCAGCTTGTGGGAGGAAGACAGGGAGTGACTCTGCATGAACCCAAACACTTTCAACCAGGTGTCCCAGAATAACAAGAGACAGGAATAAACAGTCGGGCGTGACTCATGTTTGGTTTTAACGAGCATGAAAAAGCACTTTAACTCTCATTCTTGTCGAGACATTAGTTTCAACCTGCAGGTCCTTGTTAGTGGGAGGAAACAACAAGAGAGAGAGGGAACTGTGGTTGGTGCAGGTCGGGCGCACACAGCTGGAAGAAAACATTTCTGAAAGGTTTTTAGAGAGAGTTCAGTGACACAAAGGGATTGAATCGGGTCAGGAGGAAACAGAAAGGTTGATGATTGCTTCTGTGCCTAAAGGGAAGCACGTCTTTCATCAAAAGTTGGGGAGGACAAGTTCATATGTTGTGCAAGTAAAGTCGATGCTGTCTCCAAAGGAAGTCTGATACATATCCTCCAGTGATTGAGGCCCAATCCCAAACCACGCCCTACACCCTACCCCTACACACTACCCCACCGTTCGCGCGCCCCACATTAAGTGCTGTTCCAAACCAACGAGTGTGGAGGGGGAGATGCAGACTCGCCCTCAAACAGCGAATCTGCATCGGTGCTGACTTGAGACCGGTCTCTACCTGACCGGAGTCACGCTGTGTGTGTCCGTCAGGAAACACGCTGTTTACAAACAGTTCCAGCAAACATCCACTGATAAACTGCGATGATACCTCATGATAACCTCGTATTGTTTTAACTTAGGATCCTACCCGTGTTTAGTCTAGAAAAAGGTAAATGTGTGCATTTTATTATAAAGTTGTGTATATTTACAGACTGTTGCAAAAACTAAGAAGCTTATAAAAAATAACAATTAAAGATGTTTGGAGTTTTATTTCAGTTATTCATTTACATTTTTTGTCTAAGAGATGCTGATTTGAAACCGTTGTTACAGTTACGACATTTCCTGTTTCTGCTGGAGAGAGGGGAGTTTGTCCCAACGCTTGCCGCTGTATTTACTCTCTCCATCTGACAGGAGGGAGCCTCGTTGAGCTGCGAGTGTCACTCCACGGAGTTCACTCCGTCATGGAGTAGGGGTAGGGTGTAGGGCGTGGTTTGGGATTGGGCCTATGAGTTTGAAAAGTAGAAACAAATCTGGAGGTGTGTTGCTGTTGGCCGACAGATGCAAAACCACTACAACGGCCCGAAACACTCCCATTAGCAGAAATGCTCTGCAGTTTCTAAAATGATTCAAATATAAAAACACAAATGTGCCAAAACACACGCAAATAAAGAAACATCTTGTATTTGCAGTGTTTCATTTACGCAGTGCTTTTAGCAAACACTGCACATTGTTGTCAAGTTGGTGAAGATGTTTCTTTACTTGCATGTGTTTTAGCAAATTTGTGTTTTTATATTTGCATCGTTTTTGAAAGTGCAGTGCGTTTCTCCTACTGGAAATGTTATGGACCATTGTAGCACGTTTGCATCTTTCGGCCACCGTAGGGTGTCCCCTAAAGTTAAAAATGATTACCGGTATAAATATCTGGATATCTTAAACTAAGAAATTGGAGACAGGAGCTTCTGAGATGGATTTGCAGTTTGCTTTGTAGTTGTTTTATGTGTCTATCGTAACGTTGAGTCTTTTTGTGGTTGTTTTCCCTGCTGTGAGTCTTTGAGGTCAATGATGTCACGTTGTAGCTGAAGTTGTTTAACTCTATTAATAGTCATTTTGATTATCTTTTTCTCATTCTGCGGCTTTTCGTATCCTAGCTAGTCTCTCTGATTCTCTTTGCAACGGATTTGCATCTCTTTGTTGTTGTTTTGGTTGTTTTTATAGTCGAATTGTGTCTTTCTTGTTGGTCCATGTCTCGTTGATGGACATTTAGTATGATGGTCCTCTGAGCCTGTGCCTTGTAGGTCTGTTCAGTGATCGATACATGAATCTGATGTTCTTACTGGATAGTCATGTTGCTGTTGATTGAGATATAAGATGAAAAACGATGAACACAAAATGAAAGACATGAATGGATGATTACCAGAAAACAGAAGCAGACATAGGAAGGAAGGACGTAGCTAATCGTCTGAAAGAAACGTAACTATGTTTCTGATCCTATGTGACGCCTTGAATGTCAAGACAGAACCTTGACCAAAGACACAAAGAAAATCAATCTTTATTCTGTCTGCAGCACAATGACTGTGTTACCATAGAAATCGTCTATTTATATCAAGGACCCATGGCAGAGCCGCTCTCGGATGTCATGGAAAGTCCTTGTGAGGGCACCACAGAGGAGACAATGGTATAAACTCTTAAAAACCTCTTGGAAATATACAAACCTGAGGGGACACGCAGAAGTCCATTTTTAGTACAAATCATCTATAAGTGGGAGCTTTAATTCTCACCAGACCAAGGGCACATTTGAGCTGAGCAGTCAGAACGTGCTGCAGCAAATCCTGAGGACACAGCAGACGACTGAAACCTCAGCGGATGGTGCCGTTTTTTATGGATTTGTTTGCCATAGTATAGGAGACTTGATGTGTTGAACAAATCATATTCTACTTACAAAAAACAACTGGCAGGAGCAAGAATCATTCTGTACAAAAAATACATCAAACATGTTCAAACTTTAAGATATATATGTTAGAGCCAGTATTTTGATTTGATAAGAAAGGCCACCTAATCGTGACGTCTGTAGTCAAC